GTTAGTAGGCAAATGCACGCAGTATCAGCAAGCGACCAAGTGTGACGCTAAGTTACTGCCGGTCCCATGGCCACAGCCTGAATATCCCTGGTCCAGGATACATGTCGATTTCGCAGGCCCAATTGATAGAATCACCTATCTAGTCGTTGTTGACTTCTTTTCGAAATGGCCAGAAATCGTTTCCGTCATGCCGCCAACGACAACCCAAACGATGCAACTTTTGACAGAGATGTTCTCCCGCAACAGATTACCGGATAGAATCGTATCCAACAACGGTTCGCAATTCACCTCAAATCAGTTTCAAGAATTTTGTAAACGCCTATTGATCATGCATTTCCGCTCTCCGCCTTACCACCCACAGTCAAATAGCCTAGCAGAAAGATTTGTGGACACATTTAGGAGAGCTCTAATGTAGTCAAAAGAGGAGGGGACGCCAGTAAAACACCGCAGAATTTCTTTTTTGTTTACCAAACAACACCTTGAGGTATGCTACCACAGTAGAAGTCCCCGGCAGCGATCCTGATGGGAAAGAAATTGAGGACGATCCATAGACTGATGTGCTTAAGAACCACACCACCACCGTCTAAGCCTAAATCTCAGAAGCTTCCAGCGTACGAGGTCAGGTGTTCTCTCGAGACTACAGAGCAAATCATGGTCCTTGGATCGAAGCACGTGTGGTTGAAAGACTAGGCCAAGTTAAGTACGAGGTAAAGGTGGGAAGAGACACGTGGACTAGACACCGAAATCAACTAGGGAAGCGGTTAGCCCCGGACCGCCCATCAAAAGGAGTAAATCTCTCCCTCGACATCTTGCTTGGCACCTTCAACTTACCTGCAGTCCCACCACAAGGAGCTCAACAACAAGCTGATCCCCGTCCCAGAAGGTGGCCTCTTCGTCAGCGGCGAACTACAGTCAAGATGCAAGTCGACCCCAGAAAAGTACGCTATTAAAAACGGGGGAGTGTTTGGGACGATAGATCCCCAAAACTCATATTTTGTAATTTCATCTTAACGATTAACTTGTCAATTAAATGTTTAAATAGAAGTCAGTTGATGAACTCATTAATGTATAAAAATTTCCCATATATTTGCATATAAACGTTTTAAATTGTGTTTGTGTGCTCGCTCGTTTTCTGGCTGTTTGCAGAATATATTTTCCATACCAAGCTTGAATTTCTTCTTCTAGGTAGCGGGGTTGGAACGCGGTCTTTGTTCACTGAGTCTTGTTCTCGTTCACAGATTAAGTGAACTCGTGAAGCTTCAAACCTAACACAATCGAAGTAAGTGTAATGGATGTTTTTAGCACAGTTAAACAAAGAGCACATTAAAAGTCACTGGTACAATTAGTTGTAATAATAATTGTTTTCATCAAACCAATCGTGTTCTCGTGATAAAAGTAAGTCACTACAGGCTAATCAGACTAGCTGAATGTAAAAATGATTTTTTCTATGGTTCTTGAGAACACCGATGTTAAGTTAATTGGCCTCTAGTTAACAATATTACTACGTGTTCCTGTTTTGAATCTAGGGGTGATAAGAGATGCTTTCCATACAGATGGATAGGTCTCACGTTCCATAGATAGGTTGAAAAGTTTCAAACAAAATAGTGGGAATTTTCTACTCCCATATTTCACAAATGATGAAAGGATCCCGTCAGGTCCACCGTCATAAGACGTTTTCAAGGAAGCTCTGACCTGTTTGATGTTGGACAGTATAAAATCAATTTTCGATAGGTGTCTGGATATCAACATTAGAAATGTAACGATAGAGCTTTCAGTTCCAGTTTTGTAGCATTGCGAGACGTGCTTGCTGAATTGTCAGCAAATAATATTAGGGTCGTTAACAATGCTTCCGTTAACTATGAAGAATTTAGTCATGCCAAGGGAATTTGACTACACACGGGATTTAAAAAGCCGAAGCATTGATAATTCTGAGCTTTTACTACGTGAGGCTTTATTTTCTATATTCGTAAATTACTTGCGTTTAGATGAAGCATTTCTGTCGATTAATTTAAGTATACTCTGAAGTGCATACACTTCATTGCGCTCGTTGTAGCGGTATTTTAATTTCCAAAGCTTTCTTTTAAAAGTTTGAAAAGTATTCTGGTCCATATTAGCATTATAAGCCACATGGCCAATAACTGGAGCAGTGCATTCAAGACAATATATCAGGTTGTGGTATAGATTGGAAAGCGCAATGTCAACATTGTTTGTGGCAAAATAAGTTCCCTATGGTAAACATTGAATGAGAGTTTCAGTCTGTTTCCAGGTTGGTTGAAGAAAATTTCTGTTCTGGTACATCATTGGAGCCTTAGAGTTTAATTTTATGACTTTTAATAATGAATAATACTCAATACAACTCTATGATCACTCATAAAAAACCCATGACTGGTATGCATGGAAATAGAGTCTATGTTGACTGTAAAGAATAAATCAGGTATATTATTCCCCTTAGTCGGTTTTCGGACCTGTTGAACCCATTAACAAATTTCTAGTGTTTCAACTAGCTTGTTATATCGACCTGGTACCGAAGTCGAACGCCATGTAATTTTTGACAGATTAAAATCACCTCCGATGATTTTAAAAGTATGTGGTTGGTGCGAAGTAAAGGAAAAGATACTTTCTAGTAATCTGTCAAACTTAGTATCCGCATGAGGTGGTTTGTATATGCATCCCAACAGTAGATAATTTTGAGATCCACAAATTATAGTGATCCAAATGGAGTCGTCTATAGTATCAAGAGATTTATCCTCAAATTTGCACGCCTGAATGTCTTAACGGACATAGATAATTGTACTGCCTCCTAATCCATAACATCTATCGGTTCAAAAGAAAACGTAGTTATCTACATCCAAGGAATGATTGGATATAGATGAATTGCACCAAGTTTCCGTGATAAGTACAATGGTTGAATTTACAAGGAATTAAAGGGTTTTAAGATGGATAATTTTATTGGACAGAGAGCGGGCATTGAACGAAAGAATAAGAAACTCAGAGTTATCATGGTGAAGCAGGTTAGAATATAAATCGCGATTGGTAGTCTCATGAATACTCGTAGGATTGGCTAAGGTAAGGGCTGTGTTGCGAGGGGAAATAGATTCAACCACTTTGTCATCACTTGAAATATGTTTACCGTTGCCGTCAGAAAAGCCGGCGGAATTACAAAAAAATTCTTCTCATTGCTATTGGATATAACATCTGATAGAGGCATTGTGTACATGTTTGGAGCCATACCAAGAAGGCTATCAGGTCTATGTGTGCGACCAAGTGGTCAATTACAATTCAGATTACTATCTATACCTGACGTATGGGTAACATGTTCCAGAAGTTTATTTCCAAGGTTTGTGGTTAATTTTTCCTAGTTAGGAATTTAGGGATAATCGTGTGCTGTTAAACATACTTGCGATGCTTTGCTAGGTTCGAATATATCAACGTAAAGTGTGTGGTCAGTTATGTGAATGTTATGATTAGTTTTCCTGCTATCGGTTGCACAGTTACTGTAACTAGGTGTGGCACTAACAGGGGTTTAGACGGTGTTATCCCATTCGTCATCAGCACAACTACCTCGGGTTGAATCTAAGTCAACATTCTTAAGAGGATGGGTACCACCTACTTCGGGATTACTTTCTTCTGAGTTTTGAACTTCAGGAGATTCAGAGGAGTTTTTCGGTGGCGGCATACTTGTAAAGCTAGACGTCCTCTTGAAATCGGACTTAAGTTTACGACCATTAAGATTATGATGCGTTTGGGAGCCTATCAAATACATCTTCGAACCTCCTCACTCCTGTCTTCTGATTTCACTTGGTGGGTACGATTCGTATTAGAAGGTAATACTGGTTAAGGTGTTGTCAAGACTTCAAATACCTGTGGCATCTTCAGTCTCATTTTACAATTTGTAATGAAATCCCACTCCTTATTCCTGATGATCAGACAATCCATATACTTGGTGATAGTAATGATCTATTTCCACATAACAGTAAGTCAACTGAAGCAGCCCAGTTAAAAGCAAAAATAACGATGCTGTTAGCAAACAGTGAACACCTACCATTTTCTTATGGATCGTCCTATGAACATAAGTACTATCTGATGCCTTTTCGTATAAATGTGTTTCTTAAAACTAATCAAGCAAGCTATCAACTTCCTCAAAGTGATTTCTGTGAAATCAAGTTTTGAAACAACCATACAGAAGCAGTTCCACAAGTATATCTCAACTGAGCTTACCCCTTTAATCTGCACATCACAAAGGCCATATGAAACTCAAAATAAGGAAGATGTATTTGATCATCTAGAGCGTGTTCCTCATGCTAAAAGCATAAGAATGAAGCATATCGAGAGAATTTTACTTCACTTGGTAAAACCAATGATGGTAGGAGACCAGAATATATCACATTATGATCAACTGTAGCTGAAGATGAAAGAGCCGGAAATTTCTTGACAATTTGTTAATTGGGTTGTGGAGTTCCTAAGGGACCGGTAAAGTGTAATATGAACCAGCTTGAAAGCCTCCTACTGAAAACCAGTATCGACCCGGTTGCAGTAGGACAAAGTATTAGTTATTAAGACGGGAAGCCAAGTGGTTAGAGCTTTGGATCTACTTTATTCAGAGAATGTCGAAATACAGAGGAGAGAGGTGAATAGACTTTGTGCTGACATGTTTTGCAAATAGTCTAATATATGATTGGTACACTTCTTTGTAACTACTTATCTCCTGGAAAGTCTTCATGTTTACTTACTGAGTTATCAACCTACTACTGGTATAAGTAGTGTTTGTAAACTTTCTGACTCACTGAGTGAAAAACCCACTGTGCAAAAAACATAATAGAGGAAATCAACATTTGATTGCAGTCTGCATTCTTGGAAAGACAAACCTCCATCTCAAATTGGAAGACCGGTATTGAGTATTAAACAGTTGAAGCGCATAACATGAAATGCTAAGGCAGCTGTTTGTCGCATAGCTTCTAGAAGTTATGAGTGTATAAGTTGTTTTCTGTCTGTTCCATGGAATGTCTGATCAGTTTTCACCAAAGCCTGATGATCATAACTTGTCTGAAGGTTCTAATCAGAGGTTTTCTGAAGCACGGGCAACTTTACACTCAAGCACACCTTCAAAACCAGTGGTGTCATGTGCACTCGGTCGGACAGTTCATAACCTTTCATTACTAAGAGGAAGCAGCATCCACATTGGTCATGATTTAAAGAGCCCTTCACATAGATGGGCTGCCAGCGATCGCTTGCGCCTCATCCATTTTCTACAAGATATTCAGCTTGACCGAGCCTTAGATGTACTGCCGGATAACTGCACCTATGAAGACCTACTTAAATGTACACTAGAAGAGCTCCGTTCCGTGTTTACCGGGTGCCTCACGGAGTTCGAAATAAATTCCGTTTATTCAGACCTACATTCTTATGCCTCCAGTGGATATACAACAGAGTCGCATTCACATTCTGAGGATTGTCAACCTAGACGAGTAAGGTTGTAGGTTATACATTTGCTTTAATATTTATATGTAACACAACCAGTTGAAGATTGTTGTATTTAACTGTTGGTCTAGTACGCTTATGGAAATCACATCACTGAGAGATATCATTAGAAATGGAAAAACCAAGTGCAAATGAATACGTGCTTAAGAAGACTGTGTACAACATAAAAAGACAACCACTTAGGTCTTATTGTTATGCTTTTCAACCTACACCTAATATACCTATCGTTATCAGTTTGAATAGATGGCTCGGTAGTATATGTACCATATCCTAGCTCACGTAACGAAATAAAAACCATGTGAATAACCCATTTTTATCTGCTGGTAACTTATTGCCCAACTTACCTTTTAATCAATAGTTATTTAATCTGCGGCCAGTTTCAAAACCAACTGTCATCAGATGTAGGCCCGTTTAGTTGTCTCACACAATATGACCAATGCTTTATTTATTTATTTCAACACATAGATAATGGTACAAAGAGGCACCAAATACATATGCGCCACACAAATCTCATCCGATATGTGTGAGGGCTGTGATACTGCCCGGGTGCCCAAACCGAAGCAGGTGGTTTTCTTAGGGGGCCACACCCCGAGCCTTCGACCCAAAGGTCTGATCCACAAGGCAGTGGAGCATCGTAAGGAGATGCAGTCCCATGGAAGCCGGTGACCAACAATTGGTTCATTCGCCATTTGTTCCCGCAGGATACTGGAGCCCATGTGCACCATTGGTTTGGAATCCGGTTAAAGCGCCGGACATTCGCTTTTCGTCCTCTCATTTTCGTAAACAACACCCCCGCCACGAGAAGGCAGTGAGTAGGACTTCCCTGGCAGAGGCTATATACGCGTGGCCGTGTGAGAGTATTTCGAGAGGGAGAGCGGACTCTCCCCACTCTCGGCCGTACCAGGGCATTTGGGGGCTTAGTGGACATTTATATGTTTAACTTTCCTACACTTCGTTAGCTGATGTCAGTTCGGGTTGGTAGCGTGGGTGCAATTGAGTATTTTACTTCCTTTCCGATTTTTTAGTTAGAGTTTGAACCTTTTCATTACTTCTCGCAAATTGTATTCTAAATGCTGGGAGCTTATCCAGTGCATTTGTCTGGTTTGTGTCTCGAACAGGCTAAAAAACCTCGACTTCCTTTACTAATCTTTTCATGTTGGAATTATCATATTAGTCGGGAGTTTATTAATATCCTGTGTACCGTATGAATGCATTATGAAATTCGTAAGTGAGTTACTTTCGACATGCTCTGATAGCGAAATTCTGGCGTTGGTTGTTTATGATTGGCTACATATTAGCGTTGCCATGTGATCAGTGTATATTGTTCTAAATGTGGTTAACCTAAGTATCGTTTTCAAGTCAGTAGTCTTTTTTTCAGTTCGTTAGCTGTAATTCCTTATTTTGAACGAACAGGTGTTTTCCCTTCATTTTAGTGTTCCGAAACTTGTCCGTCCGATCAAGTTAGGCAAATGTCCACGAGTGCCAATCGTCGTTCTCGTCCGCTCCTTGGTTCACTTTCGTGTGCATCTTCAGAACCCAATTCAGAAAGCGCGAAAACTAAGTTGCATGCAGCAAGTTCGGGAACATCAGGAGAGGAGACGTCTATTAGTGAATGCTGTGTATCCAAAATGGATGCAGAACAACCTAAAACTGTAAAACGGGCATCATCTCTTTGCTCAGGTGATATACCACAAACCCAATCAAACTACCGCCCATCTTCCTTGTCCATATCATCGGCTTTAACTGATAGCCACTCATTATCTTTACAGGAAGATGGTAATGCGAATTCCATTGGTTTTTCGGGACCATGTTCAACCTATACTGGTTTGGCGAGTTCGGAGTTTTGGAAAGATTTGCAATCACAAAGTGCTTGTGATAGTCAGTTCAAAGACTACTCGATAGCGAATTCTGCCCTACCAGTTTCTTGTAATATACAAAAACAACGAGCAGATATAAACGCATGTTCTGTAATTTCGAGTGCATCATACTCAGTTCCAATTTGTCAACAAGTCAGTAATGAGTTACAGTTGTCTCCGTTCTTTTCAAGCCGTTTGTCAAGTTATGATGGTTAGTTTTACTGTATATACTACTCTTTCTAGTTCTATCACGTTTTTTTATGGTGGGTTAAATGTTTCAAATAAAAGTCACCCGTGAAATGTAGTTTTTCGAACTAATTTGCTGATTAACTATAATTTGTCGATAACCTCATACTATGATATTTAACAGGAAGCTTGGTACGTGCGTTGTACAGCTATTTTCAAAGAACGAATGTATGTACTTAACACTGGGTGCAGTCCAAATGTCTTTTATTTACTTTCAGTGTTCTAAATAGAGGAGCCTTTAAAGGTTTACTTTATAAGATTTATTCTTTGTTTTATAGTATACTGACTAATTGACATGTATATTTTTATCCCCAGGACATTCCATCCCAAGTACTCTCCTACGAATAAAAGGTAGCTTTATTGGTCAGTCTGCACCGAACTTACTGTACTATAAGGTAATTTTTTTTCATTATTTATCGATATGATGTGAAAACTAGTTTTATTGAAATCAATGTGGTATAATTGCTTCATAGAAATTGGTTATCATTAAGGATGCAGCATTGTATGACAAACATACAGTGAACCAAATAAATAGTAACTTCGTAGACCGCAGTAACCGGACACTTAAATAGCTTGGGTAAGTTTCGGTATAGAGTCAAGGTGATTATTTTGGTAGGAACGTCTTTGGGTCATTCCCACGTTTTTTCTGCCAATTTTATCGTGTTTTTATATAATTTTATTTCATTTGACCATATAAGATCTTAAAGGCAGTACAATAAAAATATCTCAGCAAATATTTGAATGCTTCTACTGAAATATTTCATATAAGTCTAAGAGCATGTCGCTCATAAACCTAAGACTATTTAGACAAGACAAGCTGCTGAGTGAGCTGGAAAATAGAAGCATACACATAGTACACTTGTAACAGAATAGAAGATTGAAGCAATTTGAAATAAACTCATTTTTATCATGTTTCTCATGTTAACGGGCATGATGCCAACCGCGAAAAAATGGTTTAACTCCTCTTAAGTTTAGTTCGAACTAGTATTAGCCATTTTGTTATTTTCTAATTACAGTAGAAAGTAACCTCGTTATTCAATACCAATGATAATTAACCACAATTATTGTCTGCTATCCCTTTTTTTAATTTCCGGGTTCTTATTCATAAATAAAGCGACAAGAACAAGTTGTGCAGAATAACATTAATTCATCATATTTTAAGGTGTCTCATCGTCTTCAAGTGGCGTAACATTCACATTAGTTATATTATTATGAGCAAAATTTATTAAAATTTATCAAAGGATCAGGATATATGAAATTTTTTATTTATACTTTTTAGCGTGATCCCAATTATAATCAATTCGTACACTGTCGAAACTCATATCAAAATGTCTCGTCAGCTTATACTCCACCTTCAAGCTTAAAAAGCCCTGAATCACTAATCTGTTCAAAGGATCCTAATAGCCCGAAGTATGGAGCAATTGTTAGACAGTCTAAAGTTTCTACCAATCAATCACTACTCGGATCCGCCTCGGGAGCAATTAAGAACATTGATGAAACTACCCGAGCACTTACATCACTTCCTTTTCATACTCAGCGTCGGAGTATGCTAGTAAGCGGTTTGGGTAGCCTCAGTGGTAGTAGTGGTTGCATGGCCGATCGAAGCATGTCCAGTCCTGCTCCTTCCAATGAACCTGATAGTCCAGTTTTTTCTACTGCTTCTCTTGCTCATAGTGATATACCATACCTTGTATCACCAAAGAACAGTGTTGTTGCGTATGAGCCATCACAGTTAACTAGATCTTCTGATCTCTCTGGTGAAAATTCAAAAACAGAGATGCCATGTACTCACCAAAGTATTAGTAAACTGCAAGACAAAACTACGCAGCTAAAAAGAACCCAAACAAACTACAAAGTCATCACAAGTAAAAATATCGGTCAGTAACCTGTATTTACTTAATCGTATCATTTTTATTCGGCTATTTCTAGCTATCGAATTCTACCAAGTACTTGTGGTATCATAAATTCATAAATATGTTTTGATAACTATTTTGTTTAGTTGTATGTTTGTCTTTTGTCCATTCGGTTAGTGAGTTAGAGCAATATGATCCAAAAAGCTTTTTTATTATAATTTTTAGTTAACTATTTCTGAAATAGTTTTTAGTATTATGAATTTGCTCAAATATGTTAACACCTTTCATATTTATATTTAAAACAGAGATTTAGATTTTAGTAGTTAGATTCTTCTATTTGTTTTCTCAGATTTTGACACCAGGATTTGAGAACTGTTGCTTGGAGCTATTGGATAACTCTAAGTAGTTAAATATTAAGTATTTCACGAGTGTTATTCGCGTCATTTCGCCTCTTAATTTGTGTATGCTTACCATTTTATAGGTTGTTAAATGATATTCCTCATGTCACGTCCGTCTAAATTCCGTCTACCCGTTGGATATTAAAAAGTCAGTCCATAATGACAAGATACGAAATTATAAAATCCTTGATCAATTTAGAAAATGATTACAATATTCCTAAATGTGTGGTCACTACCTTCGGCAGTACACCTAAAGGTACAACATAAAGTAATTCAATGAAGGAGGCATCTAAGTTGTCTACTTTTGAAGCTAGCACACAATGATTACTATCGTGTCACTATTAATATTCTTGGGTCAAATGGTCGGTCGACTCACCACTACGATTTTATCAATCTCACCATTAAACCAGAACTCATTTCAGTCTTGACTAGTGCATTTCTCTACTCTTAACAGCTAATTTGTTCAAATCTGCAACTAACTGAAGGTAAAAGATGCCTTAACGATATCTTACTATAATAAATTGATTTTCACTCAAATTTCAGATACTATTCCCCTTCAAGAGTCGTGTGATGCATCTTTGTTTACTGAGAAACGGAGTTTCATCCCACGCTTGCATCTGGAAAGAAAACAGTGAGTTTAGTCAATGTCCAATAATAGCATAAGTTATAAAACATGTTTTTAAGACATTTTCATAATTCAGCACCTTTCTTTACACCAAGCAGGTGTCGGTAATTTGTGGACGCTGTGGGAGCCGTCCAGATAATATTCAAGATACATGCCCAGAACATCTATGTCAGTGTTCTAAAGTGGTGGTTTACTCAATTATCGTCCGAAAATCTGATAATGATACACAACGTGCTACGCGCTAACTCCCTATCTGACTACTTGAGCGAGAACACATTAGTGGACATGGAAGAGTATTGGGCTACCGGATAAAATGCACAAATACTCCTATGTATTTATACAACTCTACCCCTTAGAAAATAAATCCATTTCTTAGCCAGTGATATGCACTTTTCCTACAGGTCACTTGTGATTGCCATCGATTGACCTCATTTAGCTACTTTTGATTGGCTTACCATACCAGTCGATATGACCGAGCATATTGGCGAACGTCGAGATTACTGATTTGATGTTGTCAATGAGTGTCAGTGATCCTTCGGAGATTAAGATGGTCGAACACAGTCGCCGAACATCCTTAACTCAGTGTGGTCAATTTTCACAAACATAAAAGGAAACTGCCCCCGCCGACGCGTTGTGATTCCGATCTTTTACAGCTAGACCAACATCACGGTAAATCCAAAGGTGACCCGGGCTAGTATAAGTTACTCTGGCTTTCATTATACGTAGATTTATCCCATCTGTCACACTGCCCCCAGTGCTCACAAAACTACCCAGATATACAAACCTTTCGATTAGTTATAACGAATTTTCACAAGAGTGACTGCACGCACATACTGTTGGGATTTTTGCAGAAGTACTCTGTATTTATGTATGAAGTAAATTCCATGCCTACGAACACTGATCTTCAACTGATTTGATACAATTTGTGTACACAGTAAGGCGATGTCATCTGGATACTCGAGATCGGATTTTTTTTCCAGGCAGTAAATCTACACCACCTTACGTGCTTCCTTCAGAGCTGTTTCCAGTATGTGGTAGGTGGCAAGCTGAAAAAAGAATGGTGAGATCGGGTAGCCCTGCATAATCTCACTGCTGAACTGGGACAATGAGGAGATGTAGTTATATGCATAGACAGATATTACGAAGAGACATTGCTTCCCATATCAGTTTTCTCTTCCTTACAATCGATTAGGGTCACCTCTGCTCTAGGACTCAGTGCTACTCCAACTTTAGTCAATCTAATGCGGTTTTCAGAGAGATTCTGCATAAGCGTATGTGGAACAAAGTTTCTTCATCTACGGATGAACGGATTAGTAGTGCTTCGCTAGAGTCTTGAATTCAGGTCTCGGAGCTTCGATATCAGGACATTACAATAACTTAACCGAACCTGCCTATTGTTGAAGAAGGCCAGTTTAAAAAGCAAATATGGCCTCTGAATAGCTTACTCAGATTTCGTATTCGGTGGAGGCATTCCTAAATTTGGTCATTCAGCGACTTCAGACTGTTCTAACTGAACAGAATTTCCAACAGATATTACCTGGTGAGTGAGTTGTAGTATACATATAAGCACATACAAACGATAAACATTAGAAAAGTGAGGCAATATCAGACAAGTATGTTTAAATTAAATAGAGTTAATATCGTATGAAGTGGTAGTGAATCAGACCAAGTATGTCATTTTCTCCACAATTATCAACTACCATAGTTGCGCACGGTCTGGGATACTACCAGGCAACCTAAACTGAAGCAGATGGTTTACAGATAGTATCACTCCCGGAGCCTATGACTTGGATGTCTAGTCCAAAAGGTTTGTGCGTCGTTTGTCCCTTCCCGACTCGATCCCATATACATCACTGATTCAGAGTTAGGATTTTCCAATCTCCTAATCGATTGCCAACCTGAAAATAATATTTATCGTGTTACGTATATAGATATAAAGGACCCTATACAAATAAAATCCTAGAAGCCATCAATTTATGGAGGGACCATTTAACATTTTTTGTATTTAATGTACCTATGAGGAAATTTTAGTATTTTATAAATGTTCCGTTGCAAAAACTAAATGCCTAAATTGAGTTTTTAAAAATATAACTGTTTTTCGAAGTTCTTATAAGTGTAGTTACTGAAAGGTAGTTAAAAGTAGTCACATTTTATTTGGTATTCTTCTTATTCTTTTCTTTTAGTACTCTAGATTGTCGTCGTTGGTCACTAGCCTCATTACCTTCGTCTGGTTATGGTACAAATACATCGGAAAGTGGCAGTCATTTGTCTGTACGTTATTATGTTTTATACATGCGGTTTCTTATAATTTTTAATTTACGTCATCGATTTTTAGGAAATATATTCCAGATTAAACTTGAATTAAATTTTGTTAATAAAAAGTCTGTAATTGTTGACTTAAACGCTTTCGTTATATTCATGTCTGCCTTGATAGGAAACACTTCCCGGACAGAATTTAGACTTACATTAGAGTGTACATGTCTACATCCTGATATTCTAGTATTTAATTACCCCACTTGTTAGATAAATAAAATTCTTTTTTCGACGATCTCAGGCTGTCACTCGAATTACGATTCATGATCAAAATCGTTTCAAATATTTTAGTTGGATGAAAATAGATATGATCGTAAAACTGTATTTTGCCGAACGACTTTATCATCTTCAAATACACGTTTGGATTTTATAAACTTTTTGCTTTGAATGCTCAGAGTCCTTAGCTAATTAACTTTCAAAAATATGTGGTTACTACCTATATCATTTTATATTTTAATAACTCTCAACATGTGATTTGTAAATTTTTATATAAGATTCTCCAGATTAACATTTTGTATGACAGTACGTTTGTTCGGAACTTAGTACTTTATGATAAAAATTTTCAGTAATCACCTTTCTATTTTCTGGTTACTGCATCATTTTTGTTGGGGAGACCCAGACTATTCCTCGAAAAACACCCAGAGGGGCCCTGAAAACGCTGGGAAACATTTTTTCCGATTGGCGTTAATTAGAAGTTTCTCACAAAAATCTGGAAAGCAAAGGGTCGTATTTCTGATTGGATGATTACCTATCTTGCTACTGTGTTTAGTAAGGTTCCAAAACCTTCCAGAAGCCCAAGGCTACCTGAGATGCTATAAATACCCTCAATTTCCTGTACATAAACTAACTTTGGAGTGGAGCGTTCTCTCCATATTTCTCGCCTTTTCTCTCGTGTTCAAGTTGTTTTGTGGATTAAGCCAGGGGGTTATTAGAAGAGCTTAGAAACCGCCTCAAGCATTTAATCAGAATATCTATCAATTTTTAAGGATATTAGTCCTTGAAATGGATAGTCATCATATTGAAGTTGGTTGTAAGTATAAATTTTCTTACTAATTGAAATTGTTTCATGTGATCTTCACTGCTAGTTTAGAAATTATTTCTTGAAATCTGTACTATCCTAATCTGTTTAGACGGTAGATAAATTCGTGAGGAAACTAGTCTTTACTTTCCCATAGATAATGTTTACGGTTGGTCTAATAGTATTCAAATATAAGGCTAGGAAGCGATTTAGGTCATTCTGTTCCGCCTTTTATTGCATTTATATTTTGCTTGGTGTTATTTCATCACTTATGGTAATATTTTCTGTGTTGTTACCATGCAGCGTAGTCGATGTTCATCAAGAGAAAATGTTTCTCATAGTCTTCATCCTCAAACTAACACACTGTATGCAAATGATCGTGGAATTTCTGCTCGTTCGAAGTATCAAACATCTATACAAACTCCAATTAAATCCATACCGATAGAACGTTCTTATTCTATGAGATCGCCTTCAATACCTGTTTATTCACAGCTACGGAATTCGAAATCTCCTCTGTCATTGTCCTCATCTGCTGGTCAAAATACAGAATCACCAAATTTATGTTTTATTTCGCGTTCACCAAAGGAATCATGTACAGCAGAGACAAGAAGTGATATTTCACTTTCTAATGTTCTACCTTTCCTGTACACTTCAGTTCACAGTGCAGATTCTAAAAGCGTACCACACACGCCTGTTACTCGGGCATCACCTCGAACTAACCATAGTTCTGTAAGTGCTGTTCAAACATGCTACAACTCTAGCTTTGACGGCTGCCGTACCCGTTCACGTAGTTTAAGGTAAGCAATATTCTGATCTTTCGTTTTAAATATCAGAGTCTGACTTTTTTTCAAAGTTTTAGCGTAATATAATTTCTTTAACGTAGCGCCTCTATTGCTGACATAGATGTAATAAAATCTAACGTTTCCTAAAATTTCGTGTTTCATTAGTCACACTGCAGAACTAGTCCATTTAACACATCTCTACTATAAGTATGCCGATTTTCACAGTATGAGTAGATAGATCATAGTCTTTTCGACATCAACAATGCATATTGATTAGGATAATTAATCCCATTGATTTGAAGGTAGGTTCTATCGAATAATGATGACGTTGTTTCGTATCACCTTTGTTTGCTTGATGTGGCGCATATATATTTAGTGCCCTCTTGTACCAATATTTATTTGTTCAAATAAATAAATAAAAATAAATCTTGTTTGCTTGACTGTCATTTTATAAAATTCGTATCTTGTTTTGTGTGGTACTTTTTGGGGTAACAAATCACGTTATGATTTTTTGTTCCAAATAAATTAGATGTAATACACCCCAATTTTAATACATGTATTTCTACTGCTTGAAAATTGATTTGTTGTTCACGTTGAATCGAAATGTTATATTACTGAAGAATCACAGTCAGTGTTTTCCAGTTATTTTCGACTTAGTATTTCCTGACAAGAAGTATCCCACAAACGATTCAATTGGATAAAAGTGTTAGTTGTTTGAAATATTGTTATTCGACAATGTTTTATTTTCGCTTGCTATCGTTTTTCTGCTCACTTTATTGCAACACACAATTCAGTACTTTATTCAGCGGTTTGTCACCTCATACTTATTCCTATCCATTATTCTACCTTTAAGACTATTAGAAATCCCCTCAATTTCAGTCAAAACAGAATTTATGATTCAATTTATTATGAAGTCGATTCATGTTCATCATCATTATTCATTTTGTCTCGTACGTACTTTTTTCATTGTGGGTAGGGAGAGTATTGTTTGGACCTAATTTGATGGTTAATTATCACACGAATAAATTTATTAACCCTAATCATTCAGTGGTTTCGGATTATGATCTAAATAATAGTCTCTATTACATTATTTACGTCATATTACAAATGCATACATCTTTCATACCCACCTTCTGACACAAAAATGAATACAATGACAGGACATACAAATTCACCTTAATCAAGAATAACTTTACATTGACATATTCAAACTTATCATGGTTTTAATTGTACTAAAAATATTTTGCATTGCTTCCTATGTACTATTTTTCCGTATTAATTTAGTTTGGTTATTTATTTAATCTAATGAAGTGGCTTACATTAAGTCACGAGATGTCAGAAATATAATTTTCCTACTCAATGAGATATAACAGATTTATTTTTTATTAGTTATCCTTGTTTATGTTTATGTTAGGTCGATCATCTCTTTTATATCACTATTTACTTTTCTCACAATTATACAGTGATACGATATGATTCCTTTTTTTCCACAATAATAGTCCATTACGTGTTTCAAATGTTGGCGGTGAACAAGATATACTACTTTTAAACCATGTTTATCGGGAGCGCTTTCCAAAGGTTAGTTTATATATATATATATATATATATATATATATATATATATATATATATATATATATATATATATATATATATATATATAAGTATATATATATAAGTTTACTGAATTATAGCACTTATGAAATAATACAATCATAACTGATCAACACCATAATAGTTTCAGTTAACGAATTTTTTATGCACAATAAATGAAAGTTTATTATATCTTAGCAAGAATATCCTCTTAAGAAAAGAAATTTGTACAATAGACAGTTTAGCGTCAAAATCATTTTTAACTATTAATCTGTTAACCAGCTTCTTTTTTTAACCTAGTAATGTTTTCTTGTTTTTCCCGTTTGTAAATCAAATATTTTACACAAGATTCAAACTGATTAAGATGAAATGGTCATTTAATTCTTTATTTTGATGGATCAATTTTAAATTGTGTTTGAATGACAATTAACTCATGATCTCAACTATTGAAATTACTACAATCTCCACAAAACCCCTTCTGATATTAATCAACATATGCTCACTAGTGATGGGCTTCAAGAGGTATATCCTGGAGTTCTAGTGCGAAACAGTGACCGGTGGAGATCAACTGGGTCTGCTGTGAAGTAGTAACTCACAGATGACAAGGGTGGATGTGTCGCTCAATTTCGTGGATTAGTTGAAGTTAAACATTAACACCGTTAGATGCCAGTCGGTTCAGTGGTCTAGTGGTTAAGCGCTCTCGTGCAAGACTGATGTGTCCTGGGTCCTAATCTTGCGAGGCGTGATTGTGGATGCGCACTGTTGAGGAGTCTCACACCAGGACAAAACAGCCGTCCAGTGCTTGTACGTTTTCCATGATGGTCTAGCTTCATTTGACCCATGATCTCAACTATTGAAATTGGTAAATTGTTTAGTTTTCTAATTACATTTGTATTAATTGTAAATGACATGGGATTTATACTCTTCTTGTTTGCTTAAATTAATTTTAGTTCAATCTCGAATTGATCTTTTATTAAATTAGTCATAAAAGTACATTTCCTGTGAGTATTGCTTGTTTTTTCATACTTTTCTACTTCCTTGAAATATTTTCTCATTCTTTTCTTCACGTCTTATTATCTAATTTTTTAAGTATATGTTTTTGTGTAATAATTAAGGGTAAGGGATAGAATTTTTTTATTGTTTCATAGTAAAAAGTCATCATGATTTGATTTTTGATTCTCTCTAGAAAATGTCAGATACAACGTTCACATAATCGTAAAAAATAGATTGAAAACAAGACCAATACACCAACTCTTTGTTGATCAACAATTAATACACTATTGAACATGTATATAATACTACTTTTTTTGAAAAAGTTATCAACAATTTTGTGTGATATTGAATTATGAAATTATAAGTTATTCATTTTGTGATCAAAATGATGCAGCCGAAATATGCATACATGGCTTGGGTATCAAATTATATGTGGTTAAATATCAAGTAATTAAATAGTTTATGGATTAGTTCTATATATTTATGTGATAATATGAAGCTTTCTTCATGTTACTACTACTATTACTACTGCTGTTGTGAACGAGAACACAGGCGGGGACAAGCAATGTATTTTAATATAAAATTACAGAGTATCTTGGTAGAATATAAAAACCATACACTGAATACTTCATTTGCAAATTTACATCATTTGTCTTTCACATTCAAGTTCACAGTTCCTTTCTATTTTCTTCAACTCGATCTTTTTAGCCTTCTGCTACCCAGGGTTTCCACTCCCGATTGATGTTACATACTACTACTGCTACATCGAGTTTTACAAAGCAATTCGATAGAAACTCCAATCGATGTGCATTTAAAAACACCACTAATCAAATTGTTTTTTTCCTTATGTTTTACCATTGTTTACATCTTAATACTTATATCTTTACATGATGTGGACACGTGATTCTCAGCTGTTAAGTCTCATGTTCAAATTCTGTACTTAGTTTATTTGAAAAGAACCTTAGTTCCGATAGCCTACATAATATGTTCATACAGTGAAGGTAAATGCCATTACTGGGTCACTATATCGTATGTGGATAAATGTGCTCATTTCAATGTAATTTTGTCTTTCAGGCATCCGCTCACATGCAAGAACAGCTGGCTTCCCTGGCTGATGAAATGGAGCATATGGATACAGTATCGTGGTCTGCAGTAGCAAGATTTGTCCATTGTCAAGTTGTCCAACATGCACGAGATTGTTTGCAGAAGGCTCTTTCAGGTCTTGTAACCTGCCGCTATTTTTATGAAATGACTGAAAATTTGAGCAAACTTGTCGAAGATGTAAGTAATTATTCATTAATTCTATTTGTTTTTAAGTATTTATATTATCCTGTTGTTTTTATCCGGGACTTACATTTGATGAGTTTTCGTTCTTGTTTATATTTAACACCTTGCTTGGAGAGATTTTTACCATCCCTAACATTTCGTCTTTGACTATCAGTTAACTTCTTATTTGTTTTCAATTTCTTGTCAGACTCGTACTCGTGACGCAGATTCTATTCCGCTTGTCGTCACATTTGTCCGCCGACTACTTTTGATTATTGCCCGGCCTGCACGATTACTCGAATGTTTAGAGTTCGACCCGTCTGAATTTTATCAAATGTTAGAAGTTGCTGAAAGTCACGTACGTCATCGAACGAACTCCGTTAATGTACCGGGTTCTCAGATCATTTCAGCTGACGTCCCTCTATACATTATTTCGAAGCTTGGTCTCAGTAAAACTGTCTTGGATGGTAAGTTTAAAACGAATCGTTTGTACACAGTATGCTATGATCTTCATTTTCATTTTCACTTCCGAAACAGTCTTTTTATTTACACTTCGATTGGCCCCTTAATTACTCACAGAACTCTTTATTAAGTACTTTCATTGTATTTTGAAATAAAGAAACATCCTAGCTACTTGGTCATTAACCCACATTAATCGTTTCATATTAACACAGCTGGGAACAAACACAACCAATAGTTTTTTTTAGTAAATGCAGTTGTTTAGGGATGCAAGTGTTCCTCAATGTTCATCTCTATTTAACCATTTTCTACTTGTCTCATAATTAGCAACTCAAAGTATGTTTATATACGACTCAGGTCTTTGAGGAATACTTTGTTGATCTGATTTTATCTATCATCTATCTATCTACCCAATGAAATTTAGATATCTGCCGACCTAAACTGGCAGTGCTTTATGTTCTACTTTTTTCTGTCACCCACTTGATAATTTGCATCGTACTTGTTTTAATCTAATATTCTAATTACTCTTCCGGTTTCATTTCCCTACTTACTTTTATCCACTTCATTGTGCCCCACTCACTATTTTTAGAACATTCGTTTCCTATCGCACTTCTGTAGTCATATTTACTACTAATAAAGGTTGTCAGATGTCTTTTTAATGACTGTTTCGATTAGATTTAGGGTTTTATGGGATTATATCGTGCCGTAGTGTGAATTAGTTGGTAATTTCTGGTATTTTTAATGTATCTCTCACCTGTATGCGTTGCATTCATCATTTGTTCATGCTTAGTCCGTTGTTTTGATTACATTTATAAATATTTGATCATAGTGGCTGAACTTAAACTGTTTTCATTTTTTTACTCCATAAACCTTAATACTAACACTTTATTATTATTTTTACCTTGCGCCTCCATTTTTAGGTGTTGTATATGTGGTAACGAACAGTTAATTTATCAATATCTGAAGTTCTTAATTTCATAGATATTTGTTGTTTTTATGTTATGTGTGACTTTTGTTCATGCTTACTCTCATCTTATACTTTTGTATATAAGGTACTGTTAGAAAATGTAACAAGTCAGCGTATTTTGTTTAGCAATGATCACTAGGTCACTTGGTAATATTTCCCATTACTAACCAATAAGCAGTTTATCCGTCATTTTAACGGTTATCTGTGCTTGTAATGGGTCAAACCTGCACCTAACACCATCGTATGCTTCTTTTTTTGGCTCGACTTTTATATGACAGAGAATCATAGTTTATTTGATTTTTATTATTATTATTATTTGTAGGATCACAACTTGATTCAAAGAATGATTAATAAAGAAGCTGATGAGACCTTGGAATGGACACAAATATTTTGTTAAAATTTATTAAATTGTAGACAATGCATAAATACTTTAGTACATAGGTTAAAGAATTTTTAGTTGAGCTGAACATATCAGACAGTTGTTTACGGTGAAACTATCCCATGCTTAAATATTAATACAGTGTTATCACATCATATATTGATTTTACCATCCATGGATAATGATAATAATGATGGTAGTGTTATTACAATTCAGTGATTAAGTATGTATTTGTACACAAGGGCTTGGGGCATTATATTGTTGTCACAAGGGCTAGCAAAACCACCCAAACCAGAGTAGTTAAAACTGTTCTCAACCTGCTACAATTCTTTTGGCTGTGTTTCGAGTTATTTAACCCTTAAACTGCTGGTAATTGGATTAAAGATCGATATTCACTATTTTTAGTGGAAACAAGTCATAAAACTAAGATACTTAGACATATGTACTTGTAGTGGCTGTGCTTCGTTAATTAATTACCCTCGAACCGTTATCGTATAATCTTCAACGATGTTTGAAATCAGAAGGCGAAAAGAAGCAGCTACTACAGTTTATTTAGTAGATAATTCGGACCAGACAGCAGAGGCAAAATGAATGAGCAAGCGAACTACGATTGTAGCAGTAACAAGTAGTTGTAGTGATTGGGTGCAAATGTACACACACACACACACATATATATATATATATATATATATATATATATATATATATAGGAAAATGGATGAGTCAGCGAATTGATTAAGCAGTTAATAATGAAGCTAACAGAATGAATACATGCGTAGGCGCTAAAGAATGTTCAAGCATATGTATTTCATACAAGTATAATAATAAAGATAGTACAACAAGTTGTTATATCATGGATGACTTTGTCCATTAAATAGGTCAACAAAAAACCTTGACTGAACTAAACTCGATCGCACGTGAGTCACTATATACTATCTGTTCATTGATGCGGATGTATACGGATATAACAAACACTTTCGGAATTGAAGAATCTCTTTAAATTCTACGATTATATTCCGGTAAACTGATGACTAATACCATAAACCTTTCATCGTTTAAATGATGTGACAGTAAAACAATTTTGGGTTGAAATATCTATTGTGTAAGTAAAAAGATTTAATTTAATTTTCAACGTTATTATAGACGAACTTTGTCCATACCTGGCGTTACTGTTAAGTGTCACATGTCTAGCGAAACTTATGTAGATTTACTTATATTCCTCATCCCATCCATTTTAAAATCTTCACTTTACGATCAACAACTATTGTCTTGATGGTCAGTTTGCACCTTCACTCAATTCATAAATGAAACTTTTAAATATCTGATGACATTAAATGTTAACAAGGAATAGGTTTTTAGAGTTTAAATGGTTTTCTGGCCTTATTCACTTTGCGAATATTATTTAAAGCTAATCTATATATATACTTTCATTTTACAGAGTCACAGAATATCAAAGCTTCTCATCTGTGTAGTTCTAATTTAAATGATTCACACCATTCAGAGGAATTTAAATCTAATTCTACTATAAGAGTTAGAACAACTAGTGGATCTAACCTGGATTCATGTATGCATACTGATGATGAAATTGTTTCGCGGACAGCGCGTAGCAATAGTAGTTGTGTTCCAATTCGCCCACCTTGTGAAGCTGACTTTGAAGTTATTAAGTTGATATCTAATGGCGCTTATGGGTAAGCATCATCCATCATCATGTTTCTATTTGTCTATGATTTCAGAATATGTTGCATATATTTTACTAAAACACTAACTACAATATTATTTATAGAATTCGACGGAAACTACTTTAGTTTTCATTAGCTAAAATCTTCCCCATTCGAAGCAATTTTATGTACTGAATACTAGTCAGATAAAATTGTTTTCAAATGTATTCCTTTAGTTAATATTTAATAGTTATCGAAATTCAGTTTTATAATATACATTTCTCATGAAACTGTTACAGTACGTTACTAAGATTCATATTCTCTCAGCAAATAATTAAAGAATTTTTAGTTGAACACTGATAATACAACCTTTACTCAAAGTCAGTCAGTCAGTAACAACGTAGAACTTCCTACGTACGTACATCAGTTCGAGTTGCCATACCACGTTAGCACACAGATACAATTGTCAATTCAAACCCCGTATTGGTAGAGGTAGTAAGAGTATATGCAGTAATTGAGAAGATTAGTGTTTGGAGATCTTATTTAAAGAGTATGATACAGTGAAATAAATTTGGGAAGAGAAAAGAGACAAAGAGGAATCAGATTAAAATTTGATAGAACACAAAGAGTGGATTCACCTGCGCCATTGCAAACGATTTTGAGCCATTTCACTCAAGGTCTCTAACCATCGGTTGCTATCATCTCGCGGTATCCAACCAGGTAGTCTACACCTACCAACATGACTCAGACCACTTGTCAGTGACTTCATGGACTTGTGCCATGTTTTGGTCTGGCCACCCCTAGCTCTCTTCCAACCTACTCCTGTACCACTGAACATCGCACGTCGAGGCAGTCGGTCGTTGGGCATACGTAACACGTGTCCCATCCATCTCAACTGATGAAGTTTCACTACGTCATCAATTGATTTGCCATCCTTACCTAGTACCCGTTTCCTAACAACTGCATTACTTACTCGATGGTCCCAGTATATACGAGCAATGTTTCGAAGACACCTATGATCGAATACTAGTAATTTACGAATATACTCTACTCTTACCGGCCATGTTTCACTTCCATAAAGTAGGGCGGAACGAACTGCTGCGCAGTAAACCCGTCCTTTGGTTGGTAGACGGATATCTAGCCTACGCCATAAATGACGCAAGTTGGCAAAACCTAGTCGAACCTTTTATATATCTGGTCTATACAGCCACGTCCAGGTCGGAAACCAGCCTAGTTTTCTCTAGTCTACTCTTCACGAGCTTTGGTTAGGCGTCAAAGTATTATTGAAGTTAATATTTTAGACACTATATTAGTCAAACTGATTCCTCTGTGATTTTCACAAGAGGACGTTTGTCCTGTCTTATAGACTGGTACGATCAGAGATTGAGACCAGTCAGGTGGGATTACGTCCAGTTCCCAGATTCTACCTAAGATCTCAGTTAATCTCGCTGCTAATACTGGACCATCATCCTTAAAAATCTCAGGGGTAAACCTGTCAGGGCCTGCTGCTCTCCCACGCTTCAGATTTCCTATAGCTTTTTCAACTTTGTAAACAGTCGGAGGACTTACATTAACTTGCCATTCAGGTTGACTGGAGATCGTGGGAAACCGAAGTGTATCTAAAGGCCAATTGAACTGATCCTTAAAGTGTTCTGCTCATCGGTCCAGTCTCCTGGATTGAGGATATACTCAAAGTTCCTAGCTAGACTGTTTCACAAAGCTTTACTCTATTGTATCAAAATTTATATGAACAAAAATGAAATGGCTCGTAATTTTCAGGTTTATTTTTGTTCGTTTATTTGTACTTTACTGAAATAAAAAGTCAGAAAATTTCCTCAACTATTTCTCAATACTTTCAATAAAACTGATTATTCTAAAAGTGTCATTTCTATTGAATTGCTAGTATTCGATTCGTTGGAATTATTTTTAATTAGGCTGGTCAACTGGATTTGATAAATCCATCGATATGAAATGTGTCTTCCACGTTAACTTATGTTTTCTAGTTCATGTTATTTTCTTTCCTTAAACTTTCGAATTTTTTTTCAGTGGACGTTGTTTACACTTTTAATCGTTTGTTTCATTATCTGTTAACAACTTAATTCTTAAATGAATATAATTTCATAAAGTATGCAGTAGTACTATTGATTTTTATTTACTTAATATTCTCGTTTTTCAGTGCTGTTTATCTTGTAAGACATAAAATAACTAGACAACGATTTAGCTTGAAGAAAATTCGTAAACAGCACTTACAATTGCGTAATCAAGTTGAACAAGTATTCGCTGAACGAGATATTATGAGTTTTGCAGACAATCCATTTGTTGTTAGTTTATGTTGTACATTTGAAACAAAAAAATGTTTATGCATGGTGATGGAATATGTGGAAGGGGGTGATGTAGCAACTTTATTAAAACATATTGGTGGACCCTTACCATTAGATTTGGCTAGAATGTATTTTGCTGAAACTGTATTAGCTCTTGAATATTTGCATAATTATGGTATCGTTCACAGAGATTTAAAACCAGATAAGTAAGTTCTACTTTGATTGTCAATTAATATACAATTGTGTGGTTATTTTTCATTTAGTTCACAACTATTTATCGTATTATTTCAGAGTTATTTGATCATTCTCAAACTTTGTGATTTAATGAAATATATATGCTGATTGTATGCCTTCAAAATGCATTCATTTACAGTTTACTGAGCTCAAATGCTCGTAGTTATAATTTTCTGACACCGTATGTAGAACAAAGTCGAATATCTTGCCATAATTCCATTACAGCTTAATACTATTTCTAAATGAATTATTTATGATAAATAATTCGCTTTTGAAAGATTAATGATAACTTAACAATGTATAATATGCAATTTTCAAAATTACATTTCACCTGTCTACAGAAATTTCATATAATTTAATGTAAAATCGCACATTTCTCTAGTTTAGTTTCCAACTATTTAGCTCATTAATAAAACTGATACCCCTCTGACTCCACATTCTACCAGCTAGTCAAACGCTGTTCTTTGTATCTGGAACTTCATGACTGAATGTTATTCCATTGTTAACAATGTTGTTGGATATGTTTGTCGATTATAGTTTGATAATTAACTCTATATCATTGGAATCTTAATAGCAGTACCTTTAAAACCAATATGACTGAGTGAATAGATGTATACAATAATAACAGATTATAATCGTGATACATAAATCAATAACAACTATGATTTGTTCCATCAAAATTTCATATTCTACTAACCCTCATAAATATTATGAAGCAATAACTGACCTTTGTGAAGTAATCTCATTTGGCGAAAGTAGAACTCTTCATGTGTATTTTTAACCATCCTAAAATCAAGATGGATAAATAAACCATGTTGATTGGTTCAACATAATATTATATATTCTTAAAATAATAATTACAAAATTCATGCCAGTTTACAGGCATGATCAGCTCGATATAAGTAGTAATATTAAATGTAGAGGACATATGGGATATTAGATTGTTTAAAATGTTCTAGTTCAAAAACTATTTAAGTATTGCGTTTTTCACATGTGTTACTATGATGAAATGCGTCAGCCGGGAACCTTTAATTCTTTTTAAGTGGACATCTTGTTAACGAATGAACGGTGTATTTAAGGTCATTTCCTATTCCATCGTGAATTGATTATAATTATTTACAACCAGAGAAAATTAAAAAAGGACCAGAGAGCTCCGAACTACAAAAACAATAATTACTACGACTGGTCGATCAAGTCTACCATAATAGATGTGTGGGATTATTTCACAATATACTGTTGCGTTAGATGTTCTTCAGATTAGTTAAAGTTACCAGGGACGGTGTTAGTGTAAAGTATCAACAGGTAAGGAGGTTTACTTAGTGGTTTCAGTAATAAAAACGATCAAACATTTAAATTTCCTATAATCACACTTGTGGAATGGGATACGCTTACAGGCGTAAGGACGTTTAAGTCATTTTGAGAGAAGAAGTAGGAATCAATGCAGTGAACAAAAGATAGGAATGATTTTATTTCGCAGACAGACTGTGGTAGATTGTTCCAGAGTCTGAAACATTTCCTGGTAAAGTAATTCATATAGAATGTTTATAATGATATTTAAATAAAGCCAGAACAAATATTGATGCAGAGTAATATGAATTGATTATATTTGGTGGTCTCTCATCAGCTACTTACAACCAAATATGTATTAGAATTTTACATTGAGATAAGAAACAGTATGGAACAATTGACATAAGTAAATGTAAAGGATTGGAATAACAAAGGTTATCAATGATAACTATATATATGCAAGAACAGGTCAGAGGTTATTAGGTGTTAGAATCAATATTTCTTCTGGCTTTATTAAAATTCATGGAGGGAACTAATTGCATGAAATTGAGAATGAGATTGTTTCACTAATGACAAAGAGCTACGGATGTTGTGACTAGGAGTTTCTGCATGTTGTATTGCTTCATTGAATACAAAAGACAGGTTATCAAGTATTTTGAATTAAAAGGATTAGATTTAATTTGAGTTCTCTCTTCCATAAAGAGTTGAGTCCAAGTTTATTACATCTGGGCTTAAGATACAGTCAGTTCCAAGGGTGCGGACTGTAGATCGTCTCTGAACAGATTTCAGCCTTTGCTTATCCTTTATGCAAACATTGCTAAAAATAAACGTGCAGTGCTCCAGGAGCAGTGAGATACAAACTTTGTACTCGTTGTTATAGAAGTTGTGAATTATGCAACTCAGAATACGTTGAGACTTGAAGTTCTGTTTTGAGATCTGTCGTAAGAAGAAAGAATTGCATGAATGCCTGAGTCCCAGGTCCACTACTGTATGCAACTTGCATAACACCTTACCATTTATAATAAGATCTAAGTTGAATGAATTATTATCAAAACATATCCATCCACGCTAAATATGTGAATCTCCAACTAACGTTTTGAGCACCACTGGGTTACCTTGTTGAGATTCATGCAATTTCGCATGTCGCCCATCTCATGAGGAGAAAATGGATACATTACTTTAAGATCATCTGCTTATACAAGAGGTTTTCTCATTCAGAAGCAATCGCAAATATCATTTATATAAACTAAAAATAATAGAAGAATTACGACACTACCTTGTATTACACTACTTTTGACCAGGACATCTGAAAAAAAGGTTATTTTAACAATATGGTGTCAATAACTGAGAAATGAATTAAACCAAGCAAACAGAGGGTTTTTCGATCTCATAAGGTGCGAGTTTGCTTATAAGAAGCTGGTGCTTAACTATTTCAAAATATATCACTAAGACTAGATATCCTCGGTTACGTTGAGTGAAGACTAAATTGAAGAAGCCAAATGGCAGGTCATGCAATATCGAGTTTTAAAAAAGCCATGTTGAAAGTCAGTGAGAAGCTACTATATCTAGGACCAATAAGGATTCACAGTTAACTCAGGGCTGCTAGTGCTGGATGATATGTCATTGGTTAAGCGCAGTGACGGGGTCATAGAAGTCGACATTCTGATTAGCCATTTTGCCACGTGATATTTGACAGGGGTATAAGTCATAACACTATTTAACCTCATACTCATTAAAGCAGTAGTAGTTTCATTTTTCCTTATCTTCATTCATTTTAGGCTAGTCCCTCTCTGACCAACGTCATAACAAATTTCGGTTGAGTGTTTTTTTGTTTCCGATATCTTTAAAAGTTTTGCTTACCTAGAAAAATATATTTATTTTCAATCTATAGACGATAAAAACCACTACTATAGGCTATCATTTGTCATATTTTCCTTAAAAAAGAATATAAATCTGTCATTTAATATGGCAGACTTAACTAGTACATGTTTTCAGCTTTTCAGTTATCTTCTTTCATCTTTTTACACGTCTAAAAGTTTGAAATACCTTAACATCAATTATTTTTTCATACAGGCTTGTTTACTCAGTGTCAGAATTGTCACTATAGGGATAAAAAGACCAGATACAAAAGTAACTTTTCGACGTCGATTAATTTTGTATTCAAGTTAACAGTTTTACTTTTCTTCAAATAATGTTAAGACTTTGTTTACACATTCATTAAATCAGATGTATGGGATTGGGTTTTGCATTTTCGAGAAATCTTTATTGGTTTACATCGTAAACACCACGATGTTTGATTAGATATGCTGATTTAACATTTTATTTCTTAGTGAACTTATACAATTTCCATACTCAATAAGTTAATCCAAGATTATTAAATATAATCATACACTCAGATCATATTTGGTTATTTTAATGAATACTTTTACAAATTATATGAACATATTACTGTCTGGAATATTATGTACTATTGGTAAACTAAAATTTTCTGAATCCGGCCTGCTAGTTCACATGTTTCTTTTTAGTGTCATTTTTGTGTATACAAATTTTTCTTATGAAATGTTGCTCCAATTTTTCTCCTCTAGGTCATATTTTAATATCATATGTTCAATTTGGATACACAGTTCTTCTATACCGTAGTGTTATGACCTTTTAACGTCATATATTATGTTTATTATGTCTCTTAATTGTTTAGTGTGCTTTGTGTCTTGTTCTATTATTTATCCTATCTATAAATAAGGTCTAAGGAGCAGATTCCTTAATTTTCTAATTTTTTTGTCGTTGGTTATCAGTTATTCCTTTTACTTAATTTGAATTCGGAATTTCTTTACATGAGAAAAGTTTCCATTTGGTTACCTTGATTCAGTACAATAATTTATTAGAGAGTTATTCTTTCATCATAAAATTTTAGTCTGTATATTAATATCAATTACTTAAATCTTTTACATCGTTAGTTGATTCTACTTTATCTACATTTTATAGAGTGATTATTGTTTACTATTCTATTTAAATAATTATTTACTATCTTTTTACAATTTTTCAACTATCATTTCTTTTCTTTTTCTCTCATACATTCTTAAAGTTTGCTAATAACACATGAAGGTCATATAAAATTAACTGACTTTGGACTTTCTCGAATTGGTTTAATGAATTTAGCTACTAATTTATATGAAAAAAATTTGGATTTAGAAAAGGACTGTAAAATGTTTCGTGATAAACAAGTATTTGGAACTCCAGAATACATTGCTCCAGAAGTGATTCTCCGTCAGGGTTACGGTAACTTTCTTTTCATAAATGTTTTTTTCGATATTTTTGTATTCAATTCCATATATTCATTTCAACTCTTAGTTATTATTTTAAGTTTATGTAAATTTTTAAAATTACTAGTAGTGGCAGTAAGTTTGCATTTATCTTAATCATGCACTTATTCAAGTCAAGTATCGAATTAGGTATAATTATTTGAATTACATTCAAGTTGTGTCTAATAACTATAACTAAATGAAACGTTACACCTTTGATTTAGTAATACTCTGTATGTTCAGTAAGAAACTTCCACATCATATGTATGTCTGACATCTAATAAATGTAGAACACTTGAATTTTTCTCACTCTTGAGGAAAATTACAAAAAGAAAAAAATCGTAATAAAAGAAGTAGAATTAATAAATTTTGAAAGCAAAACTATATCAAAATATGGTACCATTTTCATAACACCTTATCAGCTCAGCTATCTAACTACTTTATTGTCAATCATTTAGTCGACGTAGCAGCCCATTAAACTACTTAAAAGAAGAACGTTTAAGCCGTATATGACAGATGTGCCACTTGGGTCCGACCAAATTTAACTTCGTATAATCTGTTCTATACAGTCTATTAGTGTCATGGACAAATAACAGGCGTGGATAGGTAAGATAATTCACTGGCTAATCAATATTTTTTGCATGTTCAGAGATCGAACCTCTAAACTTTATCATATTTTTTCAAGATATTTATGCAGATTTTAATTGTTCATACATCTTATGTTCACATATTTACTCGTCAAATTTCAGTTTACCAACTTTTTTTATTTTCTGATAGGTAAACCAGTGGATTGGTGGTCTATGGGGATTATGTTATACGAATTTCTCGTAGGATGCGTCCCGTTTTGTGGTGCCACTATAGAAGAACTTTTCGATAATATTGTGACAGGTATATGTTATTTATATACGTATAATTAGTTAGCTAATCGAAGTTCCAGGACAATCGACGAACAAAAATGTCACAAGTATTGTTTTTCTCCTATGTTTTCGTCCATCATTCCTTTCTAGTATTATGTAAAACAAGTTATTCGCGAAATTACCACATGTTTTCACGATCGATAATCGTCTTTTTAGGCACCCTTATTTTTCGGACACAGTTGGTAATCGATTTAAGAAATAATGATTTCTCACCGTGTGCATATTTTATGTTTTTTTATTCAAGTTTCGATTTATTTTTCGCCTCATGCCTTGTGTCTCGTGCAGACACGCGCATACTTTACATATTTACACGTTCATATATCTACATATTTATATGTATATACTTGATTGTTTTAATGTAATTTGTTTTAATGGTGCATGACCTGTAGGATAATTGTTTCTTTCTTTGTATGTCAGAAATTTTGAAATTAAAATATGAAAGAACTTTATTTCAAAATAACGTAAAGTAATATTTCTTTATATTGGGGTAAAGTGAAATGCAATTGATTTTTGTTTTCTGTAAATTGCACTGTGTTCCGCTTTACGGATATTTAATGGTAGGTGTTCAAATACACTGGTAAAATTGTTTCTTTTTCCATAGAATTTAAACAAAATATCCAAATTTATATATAAACTATATATTACATCACTATCTAATTTTAAATCTTCATCCATGTATATAATATCAAAGTCAATTAACTAAATTCCTTTAGCTGAGCTTACACACCAAAGAACGTTTTTTAAACTGATTTAAGAGATAATTAGACTTATTACTGTTTATACACTTAAGAGCTAATCCGATTTGCATTAAATACCTATTTTTAGCTGAAACATATGCTAACTATTAATTCGAACTTTTTTATTTTCACTCGTAACAATAAATATGATTCACCATAATGGTTATTAGGTATCTAGTTGTAACAGCTATCAAATACCTGTTAAATATTTGAGGGGATTTGTAATTTAGATCACTGACTAAAATTATTCGGATAACCACTATTTCATCCTAGTATGGGACTACTCAATTGTGTGCATTCACAACTCCACCGCGTGAGTGTACCCAGAACCCTCAAATTTCTCGGTGACCGAGTAACCTTTAGAACTCGGAGCCGAGATCTAACGGTTTATGTACCTAGCTTCAATTGTTTTGTGTTGTTCGTGAGTAGTTACCTGACACCAGATACGTTCAAGCTCCACTAGTCATGGCTTTTCACTAGGTTTTCGGAAATTATCTCTGAGATCGTGGATAATGTCTTCTGGAATGTCTCATACTAGGAGGAAACAGCCACTCAGTACTTGTTTTTCAATACTTATCTAGCTAAAGTCAGTTCCCTATGTAAACTATTGAATGCAGCAACCTCCACACCCCCTTACACTGATTTCAAGATATAGTCAAAGTTCACTCGGATTCATTCAATTGTACACTGAATATATATAAACGGTTGGTATTTAGTCGTCTAGATTCATATAATTAAATATTAGATAAATTCATAAAATGATAAAGTGTATGAATTTTATCCTGTTATCCTTCTTAGATTAATAAATTGAAAAAACCTATCATCATAGAATGTTATATATTGACTCATATTTAAATAGCATCAAGTGGTCTCAAAATTAGCCGAATAATCACTCAGTACAATATTACTGCCAATATTTCCATAAATAATTCAACAATTTTTCAGTAGTTTTTATGTACTATTTTGTGGCGATTAATGAGACTATTCGGAATTAGTCACTAAATTAAAGATTCTATATTTTTTAGGTGGGTAAAGTGATTGATATGTCAGAATATTCTTCTATGTGCTTTTTCGAAAGTATGTTTATTTCAAGATATTTCTATGACCAAGGAGTATTACAACGTGAATCTTTAGAAATTATTGTTTTACCTGTTTAAGTAACACTACATAATGACTATACTTTGTACTGAATTGTGAAAGGATTCTGTAAGTGTTTGAAGTGAATCATTCTTTTCTTGTGTTTTCAGCACCAATCGATTGGCCTGAGGAAGAAGAATAGAAAGTCATTCCATCAGCTGTGGATATAATAACTAGGCTTCTTGAGCGAGATCCTCTACTCCGTCTTTGAACCATCGGAGGTTCACCCGAAGTTAAAGAAAATATATTCTTCTCTGGTCCTGGTGCAGTAGATTGGAAAAACTTATTGAGACAAAAAGCAACTTTTGTACCTCAAATTGAACATGACGAAGATACTTCGTATTTTGATCCACGTACTGATCGTTACAAACATGATGTGGAAAACGATGAAGATGTAAACATTCCTATGGATTACGGTGTGTATAGCAATAGATCTCCCCCTGCACCCCATTTGTCGGTTTCCCGAAATTTCAGCTTTAATTTTTCTGCCGATCAAAGTCTAACGAATATCATTCGGCGATCTGCAGCTTCTCGTCATAGACGCGCTAAACAGCAAGCTGCTGAACATAAACGTAGTCACAGTTTGGGAGATAGTAATAATTTGTTTCTTTGGTCATTTAATTCTCGTCCCAAAAGTCGAAGCATCCGTGGTTCACCTATAAACACCCCACAGTCATTTATTCATTCAGAGCTAATCAGTCCAAGTCCTCAGCGGTCTTTATGCCAACAAAAATCTGATCCTGAAAAGATTGAACACGATTTGGTAACGTCTACTTTAACTGCAGAATCTGTTGCAAGTCGTAATGCTTTACACTTATTGCAAAACTTATCATTAACCTCTAGCACCGTAGAAAACTCTACGTCCTCAAAGTAAGCAAGTGAGAATAGTATTCATAGTCAACAGTCTATGACTTCCGGAATTAGATTAGAAAAGTTGAATATAGATGTTACCAAATCTGAAGTTAGTGATGATGACCACGATGACAATCAGAACATCACTGATGAGTCACGTACATTTCACTATTTTTCTTCCTACTCACTTCGTTTTGGAACAAGCTGGAATGAATGAACTTCGCGAAAATTCCAATACGAGTTTGAACTCTAACGATGCTGATCCTGTCAGTGAAAAGAATCCGCTTCATACCTCATCTCGTATCAATCTGGCATCATCCAATAATTTTAATATTAAACGTGGGAATTCTGAACTTCTTATAGGGAACTGTGGATTTGCTGCAGATGAACAACAGTCAATTACAAATAAACAAAATATAATTTCTTCTGACCAGTCATCGAATAATTTTCAAATTAACACTAACTCATCAAATGTAAGTACTTCTATTACTATCTTATCACTACAATGTAATCGAATTTTTTTCATATCAAGTTAATTTCTTTCCCCTGTTAGGCTGAATGGTACCCCTGATTTGTAGTCTGAATAAACACAAGTCGGCTAAATAAAAAATTACTTTGTTCTAGGATAAGTCGATTAATGATCTCCATTCTCATTATGAATTTTTTTAATGTTTGTCCAACTTATTCAAATAGGCATTCTATAGTAAATGTTAATATTTAATTGTATATCATGCTTTTTAATCTGACTGATATTGGAAATAATCCGTTTTTAAACATACTTTCCCGTTGTTGTTTTTAGCTTCAGTCATCTGATATACCAAGTGCTCCTGAATCTTTCAAATGTGACCAGTTCTCTTGTGAAATGGTTAACCCAAGCGTTATTATCCCCTCAATCACTTACACTGGTACTGAAAATGCTACTCCCACTCTGTTAAACATCAAAGAGTCAGACAAACTTCATGTTATTTCTGATGCTAGTAAACATTCAAAATCTTTAGAATTGGATTCTAATTCTAGTTTAGAGCTGTTTCAAAATGATTCAAGTATCCGCTCTTTTGGGAACTTTACAAGAGAAGGTGAACCAACAATATATTAACCTATTACTCTTGTCTTTTCTGAATCTGTTGAAAAACCTCCACTAGTGCCCATAAATTGCCCTAACCCTGAACTTTTCGCTAGTCACACAGCTTCGCATTCATCGAAGTCAAGTTCATCTTCATCTAAACCCTCACTTTCACTGACAACCCTCCCTCCTCACCTAACGCCTCATACAGAATCACTTTTCTCTCCTATAGGTGACCATGATTCTGCTTTACATAAAGGTTCATGGTTTCTTAATGCTGATATAAAGCCAGATGAAGGACATTTGAATGTCTGCCCTTATCAACATACTCGTTGTTCGTTTATGTCCTTTAAAAGTACATCACATATATTCTGTCAAAGTAGTGGAACTTCCACAACCAAATCAGATATGCATTGCTCTTATTCACCATCCTCATCCAGACCCTTGATTTTCGACAATCCCTCACGTGTTATGCATCTTCCGGTTTCTCCTGTGGGTCACAACCCTCCTTCTTTGCGACCTTTCATGCCTTATACACTTGGAATTGCTCGCCAAGCAATCATAATCAATAAAGGTAAACAAGGCTTTGGTTTCGTCTTCCGAGCTATTCGAGTATTTTTTTGGTCTATCAGATGCATACAGATTGCATCATCTTGTACTTGGAGTTGTGCCTCATGGTCCAGCAGCCAAAGCCGGCTTAAAAGAAGCTGATTTAGTTCTAAGTGTTAACGATGTATCGATACATTGGAATGTATCATACAGATCTTGTGAAGCTAATTTTACAGGTAATTTATGAATGTTTTTAATGCTAATCACTGATAGTTCTTTTAATCGTAAGTCAACAAAACGAGGTTTTTCACAATTATTGCATAAATAATATTATTTTATTTATTTCAACACATAGATAATGGTACAAAGAGGCACCAAATACATATGCGCCACACAAATCTCACCCGATATGTGTGAGGGCTGTGATACTGCCCGGGTGCCCAAACCGAAGCAGGTGGTTTTCTTAGGGGGCCACACCCCGAGCCTTCGACCTGAGGGTCTGATCCACAAGGCAGTGGAGCATCGTAAGGAGATGCAGTCCCATGGAAGCCGGTGACCAACAATTGGTTCATTCGCCATTTGTTCCCGCAGGATACTGGAGCCCATGTGCACCATTGGTTTGGAATCCGGTTAAAGCGCCGGACATTCGCTTTTCGTCCTCTCATTTTCGTAAACAACACCCCCGCCACGAGAAGGCAGTGAGTAGGACTTCCCTGGCAGAGGCTATATACGCGTGGCCGTGTGAGAGTATTTCGAGAGGGAGAGCGGACTCTCCCCACTCTCGGCCGTACCAGGGCATTTGGGGGCTAAATAATATTAAGATATACTGTAAAGATCCAATGTAGTTAAGGCAGTACTAAACGCCTAGATATTTATTTCAAGAAGCTTGTACTCTAACGTACCTTATTACTGATGCTGGAAACAAAATAAAACCAAAAATAAGTTCTCATCACCTTTGATTCAAAATCAGATTTAATAAGTTTGCTTCTAAGTATTCAGGTTTATTAGAAAGGAAATCAATACTCTGGACTTCATAGCTATCTTTCTGTAGTTATCTAAAATATAGATCCATAAAATGAATTAATATTAACAAATAGTTCTCATTTTGAAAGTTTATATTCATGAGAAATGGTCAGTTCTCTTAATATCGTATGAAAAGTATTTTAATAAAAGAAATATGGACATATTTCTCCATTTCAGAAATAAAGATCTTCTGACCCAAAGTATGGCAAATAGATAGTATTGCAAATATGTTTTGAATCATGTTCGCTACTTTAATTCGTGTCATACTGTTGTAGTGTCGGTTACTGTGTTAAGCCCATGTAACTTATTCTAGTTTCTCGACAGGCTAACTAACCAACATCTTATGTAAATTATTTTTAATTTGGGATATTAGTTTTTAAAATTTAATATTTAATGGTTATTATCCATCGTATTGATTAAATAGTTCTAGAATTTCAGACTAATTAAATCAAAGATTCATTTCAATTAATTTACACAGAATTTACTTAATCAACTTACTTCTCAATTATTTAATAATATATTAATTCACACGAAACTTGATGGAAACTTTGGAAAAGGTCAACATATTGACATATGACAATAAAAGCTTTAATGAATGATCCTATATCATTGAAATGAAATGAGAAGGGGGTCTATAATGTATAATTAACTTATATAAGAAAATGTTTAAATTCATTACTTTCCTTAAGTAATTGGAAAATTTTAGATTGCATTAATCTTTTTTTTAAAAAAAATAATGTCGTACCAACTTTTTTATGTGTATCTTTACCAATACCAAGTGTATGTGATCTATTTTCACTTTTAGACCTATTTAAAATAATTTTATCAGTAGTAGTAATAATAACGTGTTTTGTAGCATTCCACAAAATATATAATTATTAATCGGTTATCTGTTCTGTCATTTGTTTTTTCTATTTTCATTATAACTAAAACAAAATATCTAGAGTGGGACTACTTTACGTCTTCATGCAACTCCTATTAGTCAAACATTTATTCGTTCTGATGGACCATATCGTTCTTCTGATCGTCTTGTACCACGTGTTACTTCAGCTCATCTATTGAATAATAATAATAATAATAATAATAATAATAATAATAATAATAATAATAATGGTAAAAATAATTACACTATAAGATACTCAAATCAAATTCCAGATAAACACACATGTACATCTTATACACCATTTAATCCCTTGATGAGTTGTCATTCTAATTCTCCCGAAATAATACCCAAAGATATTTCATCACTACATTTTGATGGTAAATCATGTGCTTCCGTATGTGCATCAAATAATTCAAGGCACACCAATGAAGTTGCTAAACGCATAACTCGACGTTTGACAATTAGAGAAGCGCGTCATCGTCATTTAAATAATGGAGCTTTCGAATCTAAAGTTCAACATATACAACCAGATGCCAATTTAAATTGTATTCATCAATCAGACTCAATGCCGAACAATGCATATATGGATAAATCGAAAAATTGTTATTCTCAGCCTGTAACATGTTCTAAAGGATCTGCTCAAACCTACGCTTCTGTTGCTGCTCAACGATTTGGTATTTCTCTAAGTCAAACCTCTACACACCCTATAAGCTCTAACTCAATTTCTAAAAATAAAATTACGTTTTTTCCACCACATCGTAGGTAGGTTTAATTTTTATGTAGTTAAAGTTGACATTTTTGTTTACCTCTTATGAAACCAACAGTGACCGACCAGTTTTGAGCTTATGTTGTAAATGAAAAACTTGCATTCTTTCTCCTCTTCAACGATACTGTATGTATCTAGTTGCAGTATGGCGTTTTAACTTGACAGAATTTAAAATATTTTTCCTGTCTTCCGAACACAAATATTGCTTCAGGGTCCCATTATCTTCGGTGTTCATTTTCAAAATAGAGCAATGCATTAATATTATTTCTAGCAACTTCGAGCTCAGTGAGTGGTGAAAGAAGCTAAGATAAAAGTTGTACAAAGGTCTATGTAATGATATGAAATAGTAAAGTGTAACTTTAGCTAAAGAGATTGAAGCCCGGCACTATTCGATTACCAACTACTTTTTTGACGTAGTAGAAATCAATCGAAGAGTTAACTGTCATGTCTTATATAACACTGTGAAACCACTCAGCTTGCCAAACTACCATACTATAGTCGCCGACCTTGTAATATTATGAACGGACAACTGACACTAACCCCATTAACTCCTACTAACAGACCTTTTCTACAAAATGGTAGTCAGGAATTAATAGTTGAATTGATTCTGGTGTTAAATTAGGTTTCGGATTATGAAATCGTGCTTTTAACTAATTTGTTCGGCTAATATGATATTAAAGAACCCAACTTTTCTTACTATGTCTAAACAGAATTCAGTTTGGCTAAAGTAATCTGCAGCTCTAGAATAACAAATTAACTAGATTCAATCAGCTTTTGGACGTACGAGAAGGTTTATTTAGCAAGCTTTCGCTATCAACCAAATTATAGGAAAAACGGACATACTTTTTTACAAAACGCAAATACATAACTCCATTGATTGGCAGTTGCGGTTTATAGAGTACGATGAACCATAAAGTTGGAGAATTAAGATCAGGAGTCGGAAAGGCTTTGTGATCAAATGAGGTCAAATGAATTGACTACTTATTTTCAGGTCCCCATTATAAGCACTGATGTCATTGATTCATCTTTCTCATGAGAGTGAAATATATTCTTAAGCTTCAATATTTCGAGTCCAACTTTTTACGAAGTTGAAAAAGCTATAGGAAATTTGAAGCGTGGGAGAGCAGCAGGCCCTGACAGGTTTACCCCTGAGATTTTTAAGGATGATGGTCCAGTATTAGCAGCGAGATTAACTGAGATCTTAGGTAGAATCTGGGAACTGGACGTAATCCCACCTGACTGGTCTCAATCTCTGATCGTACCAGTCTATAAGACAGGACAAACGTCCTCTTGTGAAAATCACAGAGGAATCAGTTTGACTAATATAGTGTCTAAAATATTAACTTCAATAATACTTTGACGCCTAACCAAAGCTCGTGAAGAGTAGACTAGAGAAAACTAGGCTGGTTTCCGACCTGGACGTGGCTGTATAGACCAGATATATAAAAGGTTCGACTAGGTTTTGCCAACTTGCGTCATTTATGGCGTAGGCTAGATATCCGTCTACCAACCAAAGGACGGGTTTACTGCGCAGCAGTTCGTTCCGCCCTACTTTATGGCAGTGAAACATGACCTGAATTCTTCATGCCCCTTTTTTCCTCTTTCCAAATTTATTTCACTGGATTATACTCTTTAAATAACATCTTCAAACCCTAATCTTTCCTACTACTTTTACTACCTCTATCTGTATGCTAATGTGGTATGGCAACTCAAACTGATGTATGCACGTACGAAGTTCCACGTTGTTACTGACTGACAATATTTCAAGTTGAGCTCTCCAACATCAAACGAAGTTACTGTTAGGATGGCTTCGAAGGGTGCGGCGGATCCTGCAGAGGTTCTAAAGGACTCGAAGAAATTTCGTCTACTCAATACCTAACAGACCTTTCTAGAAAATCAACGTACCTGCTATGATTGAATACTTGCACAATTTTTTTACTTGCAGATAAGCTGGATGGGCAATACTAACAACTATAGATTCCCCGTTTTTCTGTACATTTTTTACTCTTACCTAATAAACACTTCCTTTGTTTCTTTCATCTTTTAATTTGTTACTGTGAAATTGTGCATGTTCGATGGCTGATAGTTGTATACCGTATTCTGCTGTAATCATGTGGAGAACGTAATAGTTACCTGTGATGGTTTGTATTTCAATATATTCTTCTAGTCATTATGTCGCTAATTATTAGAATTTTAGTACTTATTTTACTGCAAAACTGTTGTTTTTATCTGAGTGGCATACTGTTTGTGATAAATTAAAATGTAACATTTGGCAACTTTTGTTATATCGACTATTTTACTTTATATACTGCAAATGAGAAGGAAAATACATTCAACGTTCGGACGATCGATCAATCAATTTTTATACATGTTTTTTAATACGGTGTAGATACTGGTAAATGGAATTAATTTCTAATACTCTATTACACTCGTTCCCTCTCGTGGGGCATAGGCCCCCAACTGGGTTACCATTTTTTGCCAATGTTCTTTTCTACGGAACGAAATCGCTAACCTGATGGCCAATCCTTCTCTTTTATCCAAAATTGAAACTGAAGCAGCTTTAAAAGGGCTCTAGGCGAAGTTTTCCAATGCCCACAATTTTCATAAAATATCTGAGAAAACAGATTAAACAATCCAATCCCTATCTCTACAGAGTTGCTACTAACTTTGTTAAACGTGTCTTAATAATTACCTTCTTACTTTGAGTAAGCGAAATATAATGAAACTTAAATTTCTGTGAGCCTGTACTGTTATTAAAACCTTTTTTACATATTTTGTTCGTAATTCATCAAACTATGGCTTCCATTTTATCTATTTAGATCCCTTGAGAAACCTCTTATTCGTCAGTTGAGCGAACGACAACATCGAGCTATGTTTTCCACGCCTGATGATATGTCATTAACCAACAGTCCCACAGTGTATTCTCGTAATATAATCCCATACAGTTCACCTCATCAAAGTCCTAGGTCTGATCATTTTCAGAAACAGAATGTATTCAGTTTTCATAGACCATCACTAACTGTCACTCCGGGTTTTTCTGGTTCTTCTTTCTCTTCTGGTTGGTGTTCAGGTGGAGATTTATCTTCACATAGTTTTCCGGGTTCTGGTAGTTCATCTTCTGCATCAGTTCCTCGACCTTGTGATTCTACTCATTCATCTTTAAATCCATTTCAACAGGGACGTTTTGGTAGCCTACGGGCCTCATGTCATTCGGCTAATGATTTCCTAAATTCGAATTTGGATAATTCATCAATGAAACTGACGTTTGCCCGTCAACAAGCGCCTAAATCGACATTTATTACACAAAATTCAAATGGGTCTCAATGTAAACAGCGATCCTATTCGACATGTTAAAGTAAGTTTATATTCTATCCAATACTTACTTTTGTGCACCAAGTTTGTTTTTGTCAATCGATAACGAAATGATTATCTACTGTTGCCTGAGTATAATTTAGCTGGTAATTATTTCATATTAACACCTGGAATTGCTTCCGTGTATACAGCAAAATTAACACAGAGTTATCATTAATTTCATATAAAAATATACTGTTGTTTTTTGTTTGTACCATTTGAAATTTGTTCACTCTTTCTTTTAGATTTCAAATGATACTCGAACCGGTCGTTCCGTTGTACCTAACGCGCAAAATTTCAACAACAATTTGTCTGCATCAATCCAAACTCCTGCTTTTACCCCGCCGCCACCACAGACTGCTATTCAAAAGATCGACTCAGATAAATTCTCAATTCAAGCAAATGCTTTAGTATCATCAGGTCAAGTTAAGCTACGTAGGCATAGTCATCGATTTGCCGTTCAACATGTAACTTCACCGAAAAGTCCAGCTGAAAGTAGTGATGAAAAATCCAAGAATTAATAATCATTGTTGAATTTCTAGTATTCCGACGGTAAGATGTATTTTTTCCTTCTATTTTTTTGTCTAATTTACTTTAGGTTTATTCAACTATCATCCCGATTGTTTGAGATAGAATCGAACATATTTAAATACTGTGATTGTTATTTATTTATTTTTGAGTACCACTGGGATTCGAAATTATACTCATGGGGAAACTTGTTACGATTTTTCAATATAATTCAACTCTCCCGGTTATTATTGACTTGTTAAATTTCATGTATCTCTGTTCATATTTCTCTTTATTCAATTCACCTTTTGTTGTATTGCCTTGGTCGTTATAGTTATTTTCTCTATTATTTAATGAATAATAATTATTTTATTCATACATTACATATCTCAATAAATTGTTCATCCATCATATAGTATTACAATTTGTTCATATTGAAGTTGATCATCTATTATATGATTGCTTCACTATGCCCCACATTCCTTGTAATACAATACTCTCGTGTTTGTTGTAATAATGCAATTGTTATTGAAGTCAGTTACGTTTTTAACGGTATCCATGGTATCAGTATTGTATTTTTTTGTTTATGACAATTACTATGATTTGTGATCGTGTCTTCCTTTCTTTTCTCTATCATATCTTTTCATAAATTGATCAATTTATTTATGGATTTCTTTTTTCAAGGGAGTGTATACATAAAACTTCCTTACATATTTATATGTGGGTCTATTCAATCAAAAGCTTTTCTTTGTTTACATGAACATACGTTGCTAAACCTATTCCCCAACTTCTTGTACAGTTCTTCTAAGCTACACTATTTTTTTCTGTTTCTTTGTTATTATTATTGACTGTTTTGTTGATTGGTTACACATTATACGCACTTATGTTTTAGTCTTTTTCTAAAATTTATCGTTGATTCCTCTTAGCTTTACTGTTGCGCAATTTGCTGTACTTTTTCAAAGATTGTGTAACCAAGGTAATTGGAAAATTCATTATTTATCAGTTTATTTATTTATATGCTTCTACCATTGTTCATTGGCTCTTCCCTCAAATTTATTTCTACCTGCTATATTATTATTAACTCCCTGATTTTAAGTTGTTTTTCATCTTATATATATGTGCTTGTGCGATTAATTTATAAAGATTTCTTTCATCTGTGACTAATTTTTATCATTTGTTGTGTTTTAAAGGTGTGGGGTTGAGGGGATCTATTGAAAAGTTACTTAGTTTCACCGTTTATTGCTAGTTTTGTGTTCATTTCACCGTCATCTAAGCTTTTTCGTCATTACTGCACTACCAGTTAATGTAATCAAGTAAATGATTAACATTTAGGAAATTTTCTTTATCATATACATTTTTAATTAAAACAGAAGTGAGATTCTCAAGATTTGGTTATACAAATGTTACTGAATGTAAGAAGTACTGTTTAACAAACTAGCTCAGTTTTCTTCATTGAATTAATCCTACATGTCAGCATGGGGTTATAAAAGATGTTCACGCAGTTTCGTGGATTGACTGAAGTTAGACATAGACACAGTTGATTGTCGACTCTGTGGTCTGGAGGTTAAGCGCTTGCACTCGAGCCCGAAGGTCCTCGGTCCCGGGACTGCTGACTTACTGCCGACCAGTCCCATAATATGATGAAGTGAGCGTCCAATACTTCCTGGTTCCCGGTGGTGGTCTAATTTATATCGGGTCATGATTTCAATGATCTTAAATGGTTTAAGAATGCACAGGACTGATAGGTTTTCCGGTTCTGAAAACTACCTACTTTGTTAAGTTAAACAAGAAAAATATGTTCGTACTTCGTGAAATAAAAATCTTCCTTACTTTATCTAATTCACGAATTTATAAGATAGACGTTTTATTTACCTATTTAGCCAGCTTATTGAAAGTATCGATATGTTGTTTGTGTGATAGTTGTTTACTGATCGATTCCATAATTTTATGCTTCAGTCGTGTAAAATCAATATGTTTGTTGAATAAATTTTACTTTTGCTACCTTTATTTTAACATCAGTCGATTTCCCTATAAAATGTCTCACTATATTCAACAAATTTTCCTATTCCATACTTTATTGCATCGTAACTTATCATCTAGAGTTATATAAATTTAACTAATCTATCAGTTCTTCATTATTCACAATCCCATTATTCTGAAACCAGGAATATATCTTGGTTAGTAGTGCATTTCATTATATGCGTAAGAATTCATGTCTCATTTAGATGACTGTAGCATTCCGCATTATGTTATTGGACGGAAATCGTGATTCGACTGATCGTTGACTTTTTAGTTGTCGTCTAATACAGCATCGAATCAGAAACTATTAGTCAACATCTTATCATAAGTTGAGCTTTATTATTGTTAACTATTGAAAATATAAATTAGTATACAATTCTATTTTTGTTTAAATAAATAAACATATGGTTAACCTAATTTTAATAAATCATAGTTCACAACACATGTCATTACGCAAGTTATTTATGTTCATTTGGTTTGTGTTACATTTATTAGGATGTAATTATTTTATTATCAATTCGATTCATTGCCAGAGTGCACAGATACTTCGAAATCTGGAGTTTTGATCCGTACGTCTGATCCGTGAACTTGAATTTGTTCTTTCGGACTCTGTATTCTCGTTCTATATGGAACTTTCATGTCATCTTGGCTACTTGATTCTTGTGATGTTTGATCATTTGACAATCGATTCGGAGATAAACTCTTATAATTAACATGTTTACGTTGCCGTTCATATGAAGTTACAGTACGTCGTCCATTAGATTTTAAGCTTGTAACATCTCGTGATTCACGTATTGTTCTCCGTCTGGGTGATAATGAGCATGCATATGCTCTTCGGCTTGGTGATGTAGACTTGACTAAACTAAGCTCACCTCTTCTACGGTCCAATTCAGCGTTAAGAAGCCTACCTTCTGTTTCAGCCTGTGATCGAAGCTTTTAAATGGGACAAGTAAAAATAGAACCAATCCATATTTAATTCTTATTAATAAGCATTTTATCCGATTCATGCAACTAGTAACTTGAACTTACCCTGATAATAGAAAAATTAGCTTAAATATCTGAGAGCCTGAAGTTTGCTTCTGAGTAATTCCTTAAACACAGTCTTTAAACATTATCTTGCTTAGTGATTTCACATAGAAATAATTTTCAGCCCCAAACTTTTGGAAAACCATTAAAATCAGTCAGCAACCACACATTTGTCTCATCTTTGTTTAGTGTGCTTGGTTAATATTCTCCAGTGATGTTTCTACCAATTAATGAAGCAAGATAGATATAACTTATTGGACTTATTCCGAATTGATCTGTCATAAGCACTGAAATACAGTGACTTTAGTAAATAATTAATACATAAATCGATCTAATAAGGTGTATTGTTATCCGTAATAGCATTTATTTCTTCGGTTATCTTAAGTTCAGCTTAGTAATTATTTTATTCTCAATTGCCTTCATCAATGTTATACACTTACTCGAATTGCCTTGGTTAAACTGAGCATAATTTCAGCTAGTTTGTATTCCTCTCTTGTTACCACTCGACGTTTCTCCATCTGCTCTGCGAGATGTTGGGTCTAAATTTATGAAAACAACTCAACATGAGAAACTTATTGTATAATCGACATTATCTTAAACAAGTAGTAATCCTTGGTTATGATTAGCCTTTACTAGCGATTGCATGTCTGGACTGCACTGAGGTGTGATGGTAGTAAGTTATGTCCAATGAGTAACCAATACTGCTACTGGCTTTTTATAGACTAAATGAACGATTAGAAAATGTTGATCACAGTTCAAAATGTGTAAAACCGATGTTGTAAAGCACGAGGAGATTACTTACAGAAGTTCGTACATGACTTGTTTCAAAATATTTTTCTTTGGACTTTATGGTCGTGCTTCCAAGTGGACGAGATCAATCCATTTTTCTCAGATTATTTAAGATTTTTCGCCACACTTTCAACGCATGTCATGCTATCTTTTAGCTGGTTAAGAATTTGTGAAAGATCATAGATGATCAGATGGATATATTATATTTGTCTATGAAGTCGTTAGTTTTTAGTTTGAACTTTACTGGAAGGTGTAAATTTCAAAGTATAGAATGCAGGGCAGTTGCACTGATTTATATACTTAGTTTACTGTACACCTTGGAAATTTTGTTTCATATCTTACATTTCTTTTAAACTTCACTTCTATGTTTAGTATTCCACTACAATTGTAATATTTTTTCCAGATCTTTTCATCGTCATAATTTCCTAAGATGTGGGGTGCGGAATTTTTTATCTATATACACTTGTTTCAAGTTATTGGTCGTATATAACTGACTTGACAGAATATATTGTTATTATTAGCCAGATTGAGACTGTGATGACCTGTGTAATTCAACCGTCAAACTAATTAACAGTGATAAAATTCCTTTCTATGTTCTGAAGATAAGCTTCAACATATGTTGGACCCTCCACACTCCATTATAATTGCTTTTAGGTCATTTATTACAATTTTATGAGATGTTTTCAATTTTAAAACACAGATTATAAGTTAAGGATTGTAAATGACTCTGGTTTATTCAAATAAGTTTAGCCACAAGTTAAATGTTCTTCTGAAAGCATTATGACCACACAGTAAACTATATATCATTCTTATTTCACTCATCAAAAAGCATTATCTCTTTTTTTAACGTTAAAGCATCTCAGTGTATGCTGTTGAAATGAATTATATTTAAAGTACAAATTTTTCTCTTACCTCTACAGAATCTGTTCCACTGTGTTTTAAGGTTGAAATAGTCCTTCTGATCAGTGATTCTAAATCACCTCTATGTCCATTCATTCTTGATTCAAGATTTGGTGCCTGTTTTTTAGCTGAATAATAACGACGTTTCCATTCATCTCGAGCTAAAACAGCAATTTATAGATAATTGTTAGTTGCTTAATTTTTTTTCAATAGTCGATCGATAATTAAAACAGTGAACAAAAAATATTGAATAACTTAACGTCGAGCATATTTGTCACTATGAGTAATATTTAGCAATCTTTTTTAAATAAGAAAATTGATGAAGTGCACTTTGATTTCATCCTGAGGTTTTTTGTTAACTAAAATAACAGTCAATTATTATATCTATTGTATGTGCAAAAAAGTGGTTTGCTTATTTATAAAACAAATGCCTCTTAATAACAATGATCGAAAAGTATGAAATACAGGTGTCTAACGTGAGTAATGATGTTTTATGCTTGTATATTTGGAATAATGTAGAACAATTGTTCATTTTCTATGAAAGGCAGTGTGTCAACATTAGGAGATGCAGTCCCATGGTAGACGGTGACCAATAATTGGTTCATACACCATTTGTTTCTTCAAGATCCTGGAGCCCATATGCATCATTGGTTTGGAATGAGGGTTTTCCAAGTCTCCTAAGTAGACCCTCCGTTTCCACCAACCCGTCAGAGCGCCGGATATTCGCTTTTCGTCCTCTCAATTTCGTAAACAACAGTAATGCCACGAGAAGGCAGTGAGTAGGACTTCCATGGCAGTGGTTGTATCTACGTGACCATGTGAGAGCATTTGGAGAGGGAGAGCGAACTCTCCCACCCTCGGACGTACCAGGATATTCGATTTCGAAAAGTTGCCTAAATAAAATCATTTCACGATATAAAGTACAATTACGCTTATTTACAATTCAGAAGTTTAAGTTTTTTTTTTCAATTAATCCATTATTTGTATCACTTAACAATCCATTTGTATTACCTAATAAGTACAGTTTTGTTATCGCTGAAAACATTTTATGTTATCACGTTTATAATAATTGAGTCTTATCGAAATTCCTAATCGGATTTAAAGTTTTTTTATCAAATCTTTTTAAATATTTCTGTAACTAGATCCATAGAAATCTAAATCTCTCATCTAAAAATATTAATCATTATTGCATACATTATATATCCACTCAGAAAAAAATAGTTCTTGATCAACACAACTGAATACATATGATTTATGCTTGAAAACAGCAAGAAATATATCTGATACCAGGATTTTTTAAATCTATTAATAAAATTGGTTTTCGTACAATCGGTAGAGAGAAACTACAGTGTGCACTGAAAAAGTTTGTCAACAGTAGTTTAATGTGAATATGTTTGTACACCGTAATGCACACTTTTGAAGAGATCCCATGATTGCATTTCCCATTTGTATTACTTAACTCATAGATTTTGATTGTTGATAAATTTCAGCCGATCATTCACCTGAAAAGTCTTTTGTAGCAAAGTTCACTACCAGGTTTATTTTGTACTAGTGTATTAAATTTATCCTTCCAGAATAAAGTCACTAACAGAAACATTGGACAATACTGACCGTGAATAGATGAAATAATTTTTTTTCTAAGTGAGGACATTTTATGTATTTCGAGGGTGATTATCATTACTAACGGAGGTAGAGAGGGAAGTAATGAACTCAGAAATAATCGCGTTTACATTGGCATCCGAATTCATTTTCGAATGATCGAGTAGATGATTACAATATTTGTAGTTAACTAATTGTCGAATAAAACAGTAAATCACTTAAGATATTCGAAAGAATTTTGACACCTAAGTGTTGAAGGCGTGAATTGTTGGTTATAGAATCACGGTCTAGGGGTATAGTGTTCACTTTAAAGGCTGTTCAGACTGATTTCACACTCATATAGAATCATTTGTAAGCGCACACAGGTGGGACCGAAAGTCCATTTGCCTACACACGACCTTCAATACTTCAGCAACTGACGTCAGTTCATGGTGGAAAATGTTTTCAGGTTAATATCTGACATACTGCTTCCCTTTCCAGTTTAATATTAAAACGAATTTTCTTTCAAAATAAGTCTTAATATTTATATCCCCTTATCATTTAAGTTTCTGATAGAAAATTAGTCAAGTATAATTGCATGTTTACTCTTCATATTTGAATATACACTAGATGACAAAAAGAATGAAATTTTACAAACATGAATGGTATTTATCTTGGAAACAAATTTGATAAGCAAAATCACATTGTTAGCAAAGAATTGTATTCCAATATAAAATTATATCTTTCGGTATGTGCTCATATGAAATCATAAATAATAAGATTGTTAAGAGGGACTCTTATCAAATGTAATCAATATAATGTTTTCGTTTCTTTTTCTATCTAAGTAGTCAAACTGGTGATCACTTCTTAAATATAGGGTTAACAAGACTTAAGAATTTGTTAAATCGATCGTCATTTGTGCTAGCTGCACATTTCTCTTACTTCACCACATCCGAGATATCGGTTTTAACTTTTTTTCTGAATTAAACAGCACTTCCATATTTTTATAAGTTATGACATTTTGGCAATGTACACTATTGTCAGCTTATTCAAGGTTCACATTAAGCATATCAAGATTCAACGGTCAATAAGTTACATGGGAGTCTACAAGATTTCTTTGCTTGTGTTTTTCATATTAGCCACGATATGAATTATGTTAGTTAGTCATAAGCAATGTAGAACCTGGCATATATATGCATCAATTCAGGTTGCCATAACACGTTAGCACACCAAGATGAAGTCATTAACAGAAATGTCAAATCAGCAACATGATCAGTGGTAGCAGAAAAGATTAGTCACACACAAAATCATTTGAAAATGGAGAGTATATTCGAGGAATAAAAGTATAGGATAATTATAAAAGTCATGATCAAGGAGAAAACAAATAGTGGATGGAGCTACTCTGTCGTGGTCGATTTTTAGCATTTCATTTACCATCCTTCAACTGTTATGGAAAAAGCGCTGAACCCAACTATATTGTCCGTAACCCCCAACAGTCAGTAACTTCATAGACTAATTCCGAGCCTTAGTTTACTGACCCCTAAAGTTCTCCCAACCTACTCCTGTACTGTTAAGCATCAGGGGTCGAGATCGGTGGTGGTTGAGATTACACAATCTATTCTCCAACCACTTTAATCTATGAAGTTTCACCACCTTGTCAGTTGACTCTCCATTTTTTACCTGCCAATTCAGTTGTTATGACATACTTGCGGAATGCTTTAAAAGTATCTTTGGTCAAATGATAGTAACGTACGGATATCGTCTTTTTACAAATCCTATGTCTCACAGGCATAAAGTAGTTCAAAGTAGTTGTTACTCAGCATACTTTTTATTTTGTTAGGAGATGGACATCTCTCTAACTTCAAAGATGACACTAGCTAGCAAAGCCAAGTGCACTTCCTGAATTTGTTCTGAAATTTCTGCAGGTACTAGTTCAGTAGTGCTGAAATTATATGAATCACTCTTAGGCTATTTATTTTATTATTTTATTAATCCCTATAAATATTGAGTTAATGATGTTACAAATGAAAGTTTTTTGTCTTAAAATAGTCTAACACTTTAATAATCAACTTTTTGTTCAGAGATGATACACAATTTTCCATGATCAGTTTAAAATTTTACTATAATCATATCTAACATTTATTATTATTATTATTATTGTTATTATTATTATTATTATTATTATTATTATTATTATTATTAGTAGTAGTAGTAGTAGTAGTAGTAGTAGTAGTAGTAGTAGCAGTAGTAGTAAACAAACAATCAGCTGTTGTTCTTCTCATCAAGAATAATACATATTCAGAGAATCAAAACAATATAATCGATATACAATCATCTTAAAATCTAAGTGTTTTCAGCATTTTACTGTAATAATTATAATCATTGGCGATTATCATGTACGATACATATAAAATTTAAATGATGTAATTTAGCTATCTGACACACAATGGAAACCTTCAACATTTAAGCTTTGTATGACAAGTAAGTAGAAAGAACTAGAAGTGAAATATAAAAATAGGCAGAGTTTTTAAGTTTTATACTTTAAAATTAGAGTTATTTTTATTTAAAATCTGTCAAGTTAAATACAGAAAGTATATTAGTAGATTAATCAATTATGTAATCGTCTGTATTAACTAGAACTAGTCAAAACCTACCTAATTCAACAATAATTTCATGCAGCTTTAATAATTTTGGATGAGGAAAGTAGCCATCATTTAAGCCCTGTTTAAAAAACTTAAATCTTGTTGTTTTCGTCAATATCCTGCAACGGATTGTCGGTAATAATGTACTCATTGATGTGAAGCAATAACTCAAACAGTTAATTATATTACTGGCATTATTACTCATAGATTATGTTGAATAAAGATTATTTTATATGGCAAATTGACTGAAGTTAGGATTAGTTATCAGTAAGCCTAAGTTCTGTGGTTTAGGGGTATCGTTCTCACTAAAACACTTTGAGAACTCAATGTTGATTCAGTATGAAGTTATATTGAAGAACTTTTGAAAGGTTATACAGTTGTCTGAAGTTGTTTTACAGTAACCTGAGGTTATTAATAATCTAATTATTGACTAAGATTTGCTTAAATAACTTATGTAAGTATCACTCTCCATACATATATAATCAGTAACAAGTATAATCTTCATAATAAAATTGTATAAAACCATGTTTCACCTTGTGTTCTTCGAGTTCCTAAGCACACATATAAATAATGCAAACGTTTAACCAATTCTATTCTTCGTTTTTCTGCAGCCATTCGAAGACGTCTTAAACGCTGTAGATGTTCTACATCATCATCTGTATTTTAAAGTAGAAAAAAGTGTTTTTATCAATTTTAAGTTAGATGTAAAATATGAACATGAACATGAATTTTATAGTCACCAGTATTTAGATAATAAACAAATGAAAGGAATAATAAAAACCTCCAGATACTGGACGACAAAAACCAAATATACCAACAACAACAAAAATATCCAATTTGAAAATATTAAAAATAAATTCTCTGTATACATCTTTTCACCTTTTATTCTATTAAAATGCCATTCAATTCATCAAATGGTAAATAGTTATTCCTTTCAGTGTTGAGGTGTATATAGAATATTCTTTGTCAAATTCTTTGTAGAATGAATTTGTCTGTTTGTACTTTTCATTTAGTATCAAGTAATTTAATAAACTAATCTTTAAAAACAAAATAGATGATCGGATTTACTTGTTTATCCTAAATTCGTATATGAATTTACAAGAAGAAGAAGAAGAATATTGATTTTCTTTTCTATGAATGGTTACCAAACATTTTTTGATATAATTAACTTATTGTTCTGATGGTGTTGAAGAAGAATAGTGGCATAATTTAGTTGATTTGTAGTACTTCAGTAGTAGTCTATTTATTGACATTTGAATGATCACTGTGATTATTTCTAATTGTTCTCATAAATAAAATATTTTTATTATACCATTTAGATGATAAGGAAAGTCGTAACAAACTAAGGAATCTGTTCACATAAACTTTATCGTTAAAAATCATAGTACTTCTCAGCAGTGCCTACCTGCTGCCTCAATAAAGATTTAAACTAGGACTTTCAGGTCTTAAATTGATTTCTTAAAATTCAGACTATTGAATTGGAATCCAGTGGTTTACATGTCTTAGTTCAATAGGTTTATGGTATTTCGTGACTACTATTCATTGCCATTGATAATAGTTATCTAGATCCGCTCCATTATTGAACTTTGTCAGTTTTCACTGGTATCAATCCATGGAGATTTTTTCCACGATATTTTCTTATTCTATCATGAATATTCGAATAGTGGATATTCATTAGTAATCTACTGGTTTTCAGTAGTCTTAGTTATTAACTCTATAAATAAATTTGGCAGGATCTAGAGGAATATCAAGTCATATTTAGCCATTATTTTATATTGGTGATAATAAACCAATTTCACACTACTTTATAAATATATGAATCTATGATAAAGTGATAAGTTGTGAATACTGTTGAGAAATGTATTAAAATGAGAACAATGTTATTTCCCAATATATGACTTTATTAATTTAAACAAACATTATATATTTAGTAATGTTGCGATGTAGTGAAGTTAATTCATATTCATTAAAACCTGTAAAGTGTTATGTTAAATTCATTTTGGGTTGCAGAACTTTAACTTCACGCATGGAATATTTCAGTTTAGTTATATTTTACATGCTATTTACTAAAGTACCATATATATTTTAAAATAAAATCAATATGTAATCACATAAACTTCTATTTTACATTCCAAATATATTTTATTATGTTACTTGTGTATATGTTTAAAGCTAAGTATACATATATTGAATTCGACTTTTGATTATATCGTTTATAGAACATCATATTTCAAAGTGTGTTTTCTTAAAAGATACTTAGTTTTCATCGTTGAAATCATGAATTGATTCGAAATAGACTATCATTGAGAACCTGGCGGCACTGGACGGTCTTTTTTTTCTAGTATGTGAATCTTCAACAGTGTACATCCATAGTTCCACATGCAGTAACCGAACCCAGAACCTTCGATTTCGTGCGCGAACACTTAACCTTTTCAATTGTAGTCTAGCTCAGTGTACATAGTGATTTCAGCGGTGAAAACACTACAATCTCTATAAGTCCTCTATACTAAGACAATTAATCCATAAATGGTCTTTCCTATAATATTATTTGATTCTTTTAGTACAACTGCTAAAACAATTCACAATTTGTTTCACCTGAATATTCAAGTCGAAATTAATCCCTAGATCGATTTTGAGAATAGAACCATTAGGTTTTACATAGAGTCTAGCAGTGCAATACGAGAAACACAATCCATACTATTTTCAATGTTCCTTAAAGGGCCAAACACGCATTCTAAATTCTACTGGTAGCCACGACCCAAAATATAACAAACCTGTAGTCAAGGCATACCTATGGATTTACTCAATTAGCTAACAAACAGTTGAAAATCAGTAAATTTATCATACTTATTCTATACTCAACACTTCAGTTATTTGTCATAAAATGCTTGCCTTATATTAAGGCATATTAATAATGGCGTACGGGTGACTGAGATACTCAAATACACTTCACTTTGATTCAGAATATTTGTACGAAAAGTAGTCATACTTCTCAGTGGTTCTAACTAACATAACTGAAAAAGGTTTGGACTTGCGATCAAGTAGTTGAGATTTGAATGTTTAACCCCTAAAGTAGCACTTTTATTGACTGAGATAGTGAACGAGATAAATTTTGGTCTTACGTTTGACGTATGTTTCTTGTGATACGCTACTAAGGTAAGTACTGCTTGATGAAGTGTATTCAAAAATCGGAAACAAAGTAATTCTTAAGACTATCATCAAAACATTTTATCATCTGGAAATTGTAAAATCAGTTGTGATGAATAGCACTTTAAAACTGGGATAAATATTAGTGGTAAAGTTTAAAAATGATTTATAAAGGCTTGTTTTGAATTTCGGATAGTAATTATCACTGAAATCATCTAGAAAATCATTAGAAGCCGGGGAAAATCGAGGAGCCGATATTTTCTTGTTTCATTATGAGCGTAAATAAACATCGGAGCCTTCGATCTTATAGTGATTATTACATCCTAATATCGTTTTGATAAAACAGAATGACCCACATTTTCAAATTCACTTCCTTCATAAAATACAATGGTCCTCATTGTTCGCTACTTGCATAAGGTCATAATTTCAAACCTAAAGAGACATTCTTAGTGTTCATAAGTCTCAAATTAGTACGAAATAACTTTTTAGTATCTATTGCTTTCTTATGGTTCTCAAGGTCTTGTAAGTTCGTGATGAAACCTTGCTTCGGTAGACCATTATCACAGCAGTGACCATCTATTAATATTCCACTGTGTCGATATAATATGGACAGATTTACATGAACAATGTAGAATCATGCGTGTTAGTTGACTAGGTAAAATTATCAAAAAACTAGGACAGTTAACAACGTTATTATGCATACACTTATGTATTTCAATAAACCCTCTTCAAACATTTATGCTCGAATATGTCTTTACAGTTATTACATCTGTATTTGTGTATGATAAATTATTAAGATAATAACTAGAAATAAATATTGTACATAACAAACCTGATCGGAAGAATTAAACCAATATCAAGGTTCAAGGATATGACAGCGATAACTAGCTAGATGCTTACTAGTGTTCGAATAAAGTATCCCATCTTGACATACAAAACAGCCATCAATATGATTGATTTGTTTCTTTTCATACATGTTCAAAAATGTGTTAATAAGATACCGTATTGTTTGTATCTCTAACTAATGAATATAGCATAGCCTTTTCTATTTTTACTCTGTATGTGTATAGAAAAATAGGTGGATAAAAAAAGCAACACTATATTCTGTTGCTTATGTTTCATTATAGCTAATCTATCTGTCAGAAGGTCTTGCTATTAACAATATTGGTTATTTCATAATAATGCTGGTTAGTTTCTTCTAATTAGGTTGTTGTTTTAATGTACTTGTTCTCTTGTCAGCTTCATACAACAAACCCTTATATATATATATATATATATATATATATATATATATATATATATATATATATATATATATATATATATATATATATATGCAGAGAGAGAGAGAAATACCCTACAATCGATTCTTCAAATCATCATAAACAATTACTGAGAAGATAAATCAATAAAAGTGTTCTTGAAAACAAACTGTTTTGTTCTCAGTAGTATCATAAAAAATCGATTGTCATATACATTGTAAATATCGTAAAGTTTATTTTATGTCATCTCTTTCTCTCTCAGCATAATAATTTAGCGATTTGTATGTATTGATGTATGCAACTTGTATCAATCAAGCTTCTACCAGTATTATTCGCAATATATTTAGTTGTACTGACTAATTATCTATATTTTTAATAATCGAATTTCGGCTTAACTCATCAAGTATATCAAATAATAATTATCGTAAAATAATGATGGTGTCAAACGCCATGATATTTCCTCACTTATATCAATACACATGGACAACTGCGGACACTCATTCGATTGGAAAAATGTGGGAATCTTGGACAGAGGAAATCCCAAAAACATCAGAGAATTTTCAGAAGCCTGGCACTCAGGTCGATCAGCAATCAACAATCATATTGAAATCAACCCAATTTATCAACCAATCAGGAAAATCATACACAAATATAGGAACAAAAATCAACCAAAACAAAGAAGTAAACAGTGACAAATTTAAGGTCAATAAGAACCAGTCAAACTCCGTCTGTAGCTCTTCTAGAGTTACTGCCAGTCCCAAGTCCGGGTAAAGGAGGAGGGTTGGGCATGGGGTTAGCGACCCCATCCCGTAGAAAACTAACTCGCTAAAAAAACGCTAACCAGAAAAAATAATTCAAACCATTTAAACTCTGCTCTGGGAGTTAGAAGGTCTTCATATAGAAGAACTATGACGCCTCATGGTGAAAGCCGAGTTCCTTCGGAAGTCACGAGGGCGATGTCCCTTCTAACAACCAGAGCAACAACTTTTATTGGTACACGAAACGTCCGAACAATGTGGGAGACTGGGAAGACCAGTCAAATAGCAACGGAAATGAGGAGATACAACTTGGAAGTACTGGGAATCAGCGAAACCCACTGGACCCAAGCTGGACAACAAAGGCTAAATAAGGGAGAGATGCTGCTACACTCCGGTCACGAAGGGGAAAGTGCTCCACACACTCAGGAAGTTGCTCTAATGCTGTCCAAAGTAGCACGAAATGCACTTGTAGGATGAGAATCTCACGGATCCAGAATCATCAAAGCATCATTCAAAACAAAGAAGGAGGGGATTTTAATGAATATTACCCAATGTTATGCACCCACCAATGATAGCAACGACGACATTAAAGATCAATTCTAAGATAGGCTGCATTCAATCATAGAGAAGTGTCCAAGAAAGGACCTCAACGACGGTGGAAAAAGCTGAAAGAGAAGGAAATATGAAACAGTTTTTCGATACAACGAAGAACCTAGCAAGGAAATTGGTAAACCAGAGAGACTGGTCAAAGACAAAGAAGGCAGACCAATCACTGAAAATCAAGAACAGTGGAACAGATGGGTAGAGTACTTCGAGGAACGCTTGAATAAGCCGGCTCCAATGAATCCGCCGGACATCGAAGCAGCATATACAGATCTTCCTATAGATATCAATCCACCAACGACGGAAGAAATCAGAATGGCCGTCAAACAAATCAAGAACGGGAAAGCAGCTGGATACGACAACATACCAGCTGAAGCACTGAAGTCAGACATCGGAGTAACTACAAACAGGCTTTACCCTCTATTCAAAAAGATTCGGGAGGTGGAACGAGTGCCGATGGACTGGAAGGAACGACACCTCACTAAGATTCCAGAGAGACGAAATGTAAGAACTACAGAGGCATCACACTACTGTCAGTACCAGGGAAAGTCTTTGACAGAGTGTTGCTGAACCGGATGAAAGATGAAGTAGACGCCCAACTTCACTTCTATCTGAAGTTTGTACCGATGATGTCGTTCAGAAGAATGGTGAAAGCTCCACGACCAAAGTATCCAGCTCAGAGAACAAAACTCCATCAAGAACGCACCATTCATTTAGTACTCTGTTTTTACAATACAAGTTGCGATTTTATTTTTAAAATAGTTACTTATTGGTTTACTTTTAGTTTTTATTGATTATATTTAGCACTTGCTTGTTCTTTTATTTCTTTGTGGTAAAACATGTTTTCACAATTGAAGTGCTAAAAAACATTTGGCAGACAGTATGATAGATAAAATGACTAATCACCTTTAATGATCATACAAAATGACATTGTTTACTGTAAGTTGGTTGATTGTGGTAGACGTCAGTCCTACAGGAGAATAATCATGAATTGAATATCTTGGTCAAACTGTGACATAAACTTAAATTCCATGTGGCACATCAGTTCAATTAAGACAGAATATGTATTTGTTGATGATTCACAGCTCAAATGAGATCTACATTCAGGATTAATATTCCTATCCAAAGAGGTGAATCAGTAGGGTAAATATATTTAGATTTACTGGTTTTCTAATACCGTGCCAATTTTATGACCCGTGGTCTAACTCCAATTAGATCGTACAATTGATCGTTATTGAATGATTGCTGTCAAAATATACATCCTGACTATCCTCGTATATAACTATTGACTTAAATCGCATTAGTGAATAACAGAATTAAATAATTCAAATAAGAGAATGGATCTTGAAAACGTATATTTTTGACAGTCATTGATCGTAACAGACAATCAGAGAGACGTAGAGAAAAAAAAGAAGAAGAGAGAGCGAAGCGAAACAAAAGGACGCGCAGTGGAGAAAGCGTGTTAGCGAACTTCATTTACTTGAGCGTTGATCGATAATTATAGTCACACAAAAATAAGCTACAAACATGCGATGAGTAGGATAAAAAGTGTACACACCTACGCTCATATAAAAGCAGTCAAGGTTGATAAGTGGATGGTTAACAAGGTCAAAATGTAAATTGAGAAGAATGGATAAACTGGATTGTTCGGAAGCTAGAATAAGCTATGTGGGCTGGACATAGGATCAGCCACTACACTATGTCCTATTGTGGCGTATTCTACTTATGCTACTTAGCTCCAATCACAAGTGGAAGGCCTGTCAACAGAAGGTTGGGAAGATCGAGTAGAAGAGAACAGGAACAGAGAGTAATTATTGTGGCAATAAAGGAACAATAGAGCTTGAGACAATTAATGGAGGATTTTCAAATGAAGTATTGAACGTATAGCTTTCATATTTTATAAAATTACTCTGTAATTTTGTGTTGAAATGCATTTGGTTTTTTCCACCTATATTCTCGTTCATTTCACTATGGTTACTTTTACTGAACGATCATTTACATTTGAATAAATTAGCATTACCTCCAAGATAAGAGTTATAGTCTGAAACATTCTGGGTTAAGTATCGTATTCAATGCATCATTATAAAGATTTACTTAGTTCAAACTCGATACTGAATAAATTATCGATAGTATTACACAACATCGGTTACTTTCAGGTGTATGTTCAAGGCCTCTTTATATGTTCTAAACATATGATGTTATTGTTAGCAATCACAAATTACAAAGTATCAAATCTATACAAATTACAAATTGATGTACATAATGTACTTCAGTTAATTATTTATTCGTCAGAAATATATATATATATATATATATATATATATATATATATATATATATATATATATATATATATATATATATATATATATATATATATATATATATATATATAGGATTGGTGAGACTATAATTTATAGACAGACCAATCAGATTGACGATAATAAGTCTTGAATTTTGGCGCGAAATTCACTCAGCCATTTGGATAAATAGAGTTTTGGCATTATAGTTGATGTCAGTTCGTGATGAAAATTCTAGATCTTATTCCTAACCTTAATCATCAACTGTAAATCATAATTCCAATTTCTTACACAGGTTTATAACTTTCATTTGGTCCTAGTTATTTAAGTGGATACTCTCAAGGTTAGTTTAGCGTCACTTAAAGGTTGTTCGTATATTATAGTCTCACCAGTGGATTTAAAGAATACATTCAATCTTAAAAAGAAGAAAATATCAGTGATATTTAAAAGATCTTATAGCATGATCTGATTATTCGGGATTTTAGGGACACTGATATCATACTTCTTTTTTATAGAGCAATAATTGTTTTTTCAAACCAAAAAAATTTCAAAAATGGTTTTGTGAGGGATTTTAGTAATTTCAATAGTTGAAATCATGAGTCAATTGAAGCTAGACCACAATCGAAAACCTGGAAGAACTGGACGGCCGTTTCATCCTAGTATGGAACTCCTGGGTTCGAATCTTGCGGGGGGAGGCGGGATAGTGGATGCTCACTGCTAAGGAGTCTCATACTAGGATGAAACGGCCGTCCAGTTCTTCCTGGTTTTCCATGGTGGTCTAGCTTCAATTGACTCATGATTTCAACTATTGAAAAAAAATGTATTCAATAAATTATATTTTCAATAAAGATAATTAGTTTTCACAGATTGAAATCATGAGTCAGTTGAAGCCCGACCACCATTGAAAACCTGGAAGCACTGGACGACCGTTTCATCCTAGTATGAGACTCCGCAGCAGTGCGCATCCACGATCTCACACCACGCGGGGCTTGAACCCAGGACCTACTGGCTTCGCGCGCGAGCACTTAACCACTAGACCACTGAGCCGGAATCCAACGGTGTTAATGTTTAACTTCAACCAATCCACAAAGTTGTGCCACCGTACACCATTGTCTTTAGTGAGTTCCTATCTCACAACAGACCGGTTGAACTCCACTGGTAACGGCTTCTCACTAGAACTTCGGGAGTTTTTCCTGAAGTCAGTCACTAGTGAGCAGTTGATTATTATCAGAATGGGTTTTGTGGAGATTTTAGAAATTTCACAGATTGAAATCATGAGTCAGTTGAAGCTGTGAAATTTCTAAAATCAAGAATTATTCTTTTTTAAATCTTTGAAAAAAATTCTTGATCTTGTTTTCAACCATATATTAACTTTGATCATAATAATTAAAAAGTTCTATTCTATATATGAATTGAATCAAATAAATAAGTAAATCATCACAGAAAATATACGTTCATTTTAATTAGGATAAAAAAAAAATTCCATGAAACTTACCGGAATCCATTTGAACTTGACGTTTTTTGATCTGAAAACGAAAAAAAGAAAAAAATTTTAATAAACAATCGATTTTCATGAAATTCTGATGGAGTAATAAAATTGATTTTTTATAAGTTAGAATTACAAAAAAAGATAATAATAATAATAGATGACAATTGAGTTACACATAAATCAATAATATCTACATTTACATAATTTATTCTTATGAATTCCCATGAATTTAATACTTGGATAAATCTAATTTGAAATCTTAAACTCATACAACAAGTTTCAAAACAGGAATTGATCTTCATGGTTTATATTACGAACTGATTTTGTTTAGATAACTACTGAAAATCATGAAGCATAGATGTTTCACCCTAATATAGGACTCATGAGTGGTGGCCAACCACAAGTGAACTGGCGATCGATTTTCAGGTACCACTGGGTTGTGCAACTACCACTTATAAATGTTAGTGATATTTTTCTTGCAGTCAAAACAGATGAGCTCAACTGAATGTGGCTTTCTAATAAAACTCACGAGATTTCTGCTGGAAATTGTTCATTAGTAAACGCATGTATTTCATTACTATAGCGGTATTTGGAGATTGTTGAATACAATCGTTTCACGATATTGTGTTAACGGACTAAAATTAAGCTCCCATCGTAAGAACTTAAGTTTCTGGGTATGATCTTCAGTGCGATTGGGTATTAGGACCGCTGAGGAGTAATGTAAAGCAGTAAAGGAGTACTGTGTAAAGGAGTAATGTGAAGCAGCTGTTCAGTGCATCATGGTTTTGTTTAGTTATCTTTTTAAGATAGGTTCATTATAAAAACCATGAAACTCTACAATCCTCACAAAATCTTAGTGTAGAAATACATAGATTCACTGAATATGTATATGTTTCAAAAATCTTAATTCTAATATCAAATATATTTTAATGGATGGATTAAAGCTTTTTAACATTTTTATAATCCAATCTTTCTTGTATACAAAACACTTGGACTAAATATAGCATTTTAACTATATTTCAAAGCATAATGAATAAGCTGTGATGATTAGCAGCTTCTTTTAGTAACCATACTCCATAAGCTATTAGGTAAGTCTTCATCACTACTGAGGAATGAGATACAACCTATTTTAATACATAGCTATGATTTAGAATTTCAATGCGACTGTGAAGTTTTCCAAGGATGCAACAACACAGATCCAGTTTTAACTTATATGCACAAACTTAGTCATATAGCAATTTTCCTACTTCTTCCAATTATTTCAAATCAGAGACAGTTATAAAGGGTATTACTAACTAACAGAAAAAGTGGCGGTAGCTTCTTGAATATGACATTTGATTTTCAACCACTGTATCTTACATCTAAATGTTGCTATACATGTTTCGATTCAAAAATCTTTGAAGTCCATATAATTGTCCCTCCGGAGGCTACTGCCGGTCACAAGCCAGGATAAAGTGAGAGGGTTGGGCATGGGGTTAGCGTCCCCATCTCGTAGAAAACTAACTCGCTAAAAAACGCTAACCAGAAAAAAAGTAAGTACCTAACCTCCATAGTTTTCAATGATGGCTCATTCCTTGTTTGTTCTTGATGAGAACCACGAAGAAATTCCATTACCTTTGAATAATGAAGAATTCTCCTAAAATTCCTGTCCTCAACTTCAGTTTAATATTTATGATGGTAATGATTGTTTTAAAATTTGAACTTTGTCGAGAAATATAATAATTACTTTGTATTTATAGGCCTATTATTTCATTACTAATGATGAAAGGATAAATGAACCGATATATTAATCTCAGCTTCATATTCATTCTGATATCCAGTATTTGTGTAGATAATTAATTGCCTACCTCAGTAGGATTTTTAACCAAGATACATGGTTACAGACATGATACAAACTAAAACATTCATCTAATTATCTTTTTATTTGTCAATGAATTGTATTTTATTTACATATTCAACATTTTGGTGATCATATTTAAAATGGTTAACTGTTTATAAATGTGGCTTAATCAAATCAAATTGTTGTAGTTATTCACATTCACTTCAATTCTAATAAAATCTTATTTTACATCTGTTAGATTATTAACTTTAATGATAATTAAAATGACAATGTGCATATATAATTATAAACATTTCATCCGTATATTTATGTAAGGCGCCATTTGTAAAATGTTCAACCTCTAAGTCTACCGTATGATATGGAAAATATTAAATATCCCATATATATTGATAGTAGTAACCACAGGAACTGTTTAATGTTGTATTACGGTATTTTAATAATATTAATAATCACAATGTATATTTTGACGACTAAACTAAATATTGAAGTACTCATGATTATTGTCTTTTATTTAGAAATTTTTCTTAATTCATAAATTATTTTATTCATGCAAAGATAAAATACAGGGAAATGAAATAAACATTTATAATTTGAATCGTTTATTGTCCGGTTATTAAAAGTTCCGGTTATAAACCAATTTATTTGAATAATTGAACTAAATTAATTCAGCGGTCTAGTGATTAAGCGCTCGCACGAGGGACTGATAGGTCCTGGGTTCGAGTCTCAGGATCGTGTATGCGCACTGTTGATGGGCCCCACAGTGGGACGAAACGGTCGTCCAGTGCCTGTAGATTTCTCATGGTGGTCTAACTTTAATTGACCCATGATCTCAACTATTAAAACTACTATGATATCCACAAAACCCCTTCTGATAAATTAGTTCTATTCAAAAAATAAGTGATTTTTTTAATTAATTACTTCTATTTCATTTGTCAGAACTTTTATGCCATATACCTATGATAATTACTATAAGCTAATACTTCTACTCAACTTTAAATTAACTTAAGATACTTTGTTAGTTATCAAATTTACTTATGAATTATATAATGTGTGGGTAACCCGAGTCAAGTTCATCTTCTTCCTCAATCTATGCTAGTTCGCAATTTGTTTCAGTCGATGGGCTGAGTATCCATACCATACAGACTTATGAAAAGTTTCAGGTTTAAACAATTTAGTGTAATTGATATTATTGAAAATGAGGTTTGTTGATTTATTTAGGTGTCGTTCGGCTAAAGACCTTCAGTGACAAAGTGAGGTGTGTTTATACTAAGTTGTTATAAATAAGACTATATATTTTGTAAGGTTAAATCGAGTGAAGGATAATATGAATTGTTTATGGGGATATTCAATGTTACTTTTGGTCTATCCTGTTCAACAGTAATAATTATTAAAATTATATTCGCAATTTTGTGTTAACCAAGTATTTTTGACATCTACTAATTGTGAATTTATATAGAAACAAGATTTAATTTAATCTCTGCTTAAGAAGAATTAAAAAACTCATCACTAAAAGTTTTCATTGATATCATGAATGGATTAATGTTAAACCACCATTGAAAACATAGGAGGATTGAATAACCGTTTCGCCCTGGTATGGGACTCTTCAGCAGCGCACATCCACGATCTAATCCATTCTGCACATTCATCAAATTAATAATTAACTAAATGGAGTTTGTGGAGATTGCGGTAACTTTCTAAAAGTTGAATTCATGAGTCGGTTGAAATTAGACATTAATACCAATGGATGCTGGCCGGCTCAGTGGTCTAGAGGTTTAGTGTTCGAGTCTTGTGTGCGGGATCGTGGACCTGCACTGCTGAGGAGTCCCGTACTAGAATGAAACTTCCGTCCAGTGCTTCTAGGTCTTCTATGGTGGTCTAGCTTTAATTAACTCATGAACTCAACTATCAAATTACTACAGTCTCCACAAAACCTTCTTTTGTTATGAAATATTTGATTTCAATGAAACTTTAGTTTATATTTAATTAATTTAAATCAGTTCTGAGGATGGTTTTTTATGTATCACACCTGATCAGATTTTGCTTACCAAATGAAGTCAATGTCATATTGTCAAATAATAACTGTATAGAAATTGAAATCATGAATAAACTCAACTTTATATCTAAAATCTAAAGACTTTCTGCACATTCTACAATTTATTGACTAATCAAACAATATCAATGATCGAATATTTATTTTAATGAAAAACTCCTTAGTAAGCTCTTAATATGATGCAATTTAAAATTGAGCAAGTGATAACACTTGATTCGCAGTTTAAAAAAGCTTTAATTAAACAACATGCTACAAAATTTAGATTCAGCAAACAAAAAAACATTAACTCATTGACTGATCATCGAGTAGTGATCGAATTCCATCAATAGGACTTGATCAAGACTATAACACCAGATAATATAACATTGGCAACCTTTCAGTCGTTAGTGAATATAAACATCCATTTGACATAGGACTATGTAAAATCTGAATATCACTGTCCTCGACTGTCTTACCGAAAAATATGAATTCACATCTCGTGAACAGAAACAGTTCTCTCAAGACTACAAACATGTCTTGTCGACAAGAGTCAACTTTTTAAAAAAAACCGAGGCTCAATAGTCTTAGAAACGGCTTATTGTAAATTTATCATAAAATTATTGATTAGTGTCAGGTACAGAAAACTAAACACATGATACTTAATAATTTTTGACCTCTTAAAATGAAATATAAATTAAATAGGTGTTTTAAAGTTTAATATTTTTTTAAAATTGATTGTGAAACCAGAAGAGGACAGAAGATTTACTACTAAATTTTTATCAGTTCAGTTAGTTTAACAATTGAACATAATGTCAAGTCAGTTAAACATAATCATAAACTTGAATAATGTAATAAGGAAATAAAGATTATCAAGACTATACGATACATTAATGCGACACATTTCGAACAATCTGATCATAGATATATATAATTGTTAAGAATGTATACATGAAAAATAAAGGTCAACCAGACAGGTGAAAAGTATTAGGGAACAAGGATAATAAATAAAAAAAATAATAATGATAAAGTGAGAAAAAACAACTTGAAACTCACTACGCTGGTTAATGAAACATTATAATCATTTGTCTATACTGACCTTTATTTTTCATCTAGACATGGTCTCAACATATATATATATGTGGTTAGATTTTTCGAAATGTATCACATT